AAATGAGATTGAAGTACAGTATACTTTAATATACCATGAATGCTTGTCAGTGTAATCGGCACAATTTAACCACATTTCAAAGACGAAGTAGTTATAATATTACAAACAATGGGGCACTTAAGTTCAATTTAACTGGGTCTAAAAAAGCCCTCTAAAGTTCAGCTAATTGTATTTAATATAAATGTAACCTATAATATATTTTCGTTTAAATGCAATTAAATGTAATTAAGTATCAGAAAATATTAAAAGTGTGAACTGAATGTATAGTATATTATTTACTGCAGGAATACAGTACCACGGTAGTATGCTATTCTAAACAAAGCCAATGTGTGAACTGAGAAAGTTTTTATTACCGGGTCCATCGTAAAACAGGCTCTGCTCCAGTCAAGAGATGCACCTAGTTTTCTCAGCTGATGATAAATCTCATCCCCTTTTCTAAAAAAAAGAAAAGACAGAAGGCCAAACATTTAAGTTGAATTAAAAAAGACGTCCCTAAACAGTTACCGTATGGAAATGGATAATGTAATAGTTGCAATTGTACCATATACCGACCCTGAACCACTGAAAGGCTCTGATATATATGGAATCGGATATAAAAAAATACGGTAATTGCAACGTTTTATCTCACAATTTTTACTTTTCTTGCAGTTGAGAGATAAAAACTCACAATTATGACTTTATTTCTAGCAACTGCGAGATATAAACTCAAAATTCTGGCCTTTTTTCTCAGAATTGTGAGATATAAACTTGAAATTCTGAGAAAAATTATTTTCTTTCAATTCAGACATTATGATACTCAATTTATCGAGTTTATTTCTCACAACTGTGAGATATAAATATGCAATTGCTAATTATAAAGTGTTAATTTGCAGGAATCAGTTTTTGGACTTGATTTCTCGCGATCTTGCAAACTGTGAGATATAAACTGTCAATTCTAACTTTTTCTCGCAATTGTGAGTTTATAATTCTGACTTGGTTTTTTCTTAGAATTATGATATATACACTTATTTAAATTTAAGTTATAAAGACCGAATTGCAAGATATAAACTTGAAATTCTTAGAAAAAATATTTTCTTGCAATTCAGACTTTGTGATACTCAATTGCGAGTTTATTTCTCACAACTTTTTTACTTTATTTCTCACAATCTCGCAAACTGTGAGAAATAAACTTGGAATTCTGACTTTTTTTCTCAGAATTGTGAGATATAAACTCGCAATTGTGAGTAATAAAATCTGAAATTGCAGGATTTTTTTTTTTTTACTTTATTTCTCACAATCTGGCAAACTGTGAGATATAAATGTGCAATTCTGACTTTTTTTTGCAATTGTGAGATATTAACTTGCAATTCTGACCTTTTTTCTCTCACAATTGCGAGTTAATAACTGGCAATTCTGATTTTTTTCTCCCTCAGAATTGTGAGATACTTTCAATTGGAACTTATAAAGTCTAAATTGCGGGGGGGAAAAGTCTGAATTGTGAGATCAAAAGTCGCAATTAACCGTTTTATTTTTTATTCTGTGGCAGAAACCAGCTTCCATATAGATATATAAAGAAAAGAAGGACAGCAAAAAAGGAGAGACAAAGACTCACTCATTTTTCCATCTCCAGACCTGTTTGAGGAACTCCTCTCTACTGTAGTCCTGTCTGCACTTCCCCTGTTCCCTCAACAGCTTCCTCTCCACCACAGACTATCACACACATCAGAGAGTTTTCTGAACAGCTAATACACATAGAAAATAAAATCTCAGCATCATTAACAGATGTAGAGATGGGATACCTGTGTTGCAATTCCAGCATGGTCACAGCCTGGAACCCATAGCACCTTGTAGCCCTGCATCCGTCGCCTGAATTTAAAACATCATAATAATATAAGATAATATTGGAGTCTGACAAAGAGTCCATTTATAGAGATCTTGTATGTATCATGTATTGTTGATGTATGTTATGTTACTGAGTGTTAATCAAAGAGTTTCTTAAAATGGTACCAGCGAGCCAAAGCATCTTCTATAGCCACTGTCAGTGCATGTCCCAGATGTAAAATGCCGGTCACATTTGGCGGTGGAATACATAAGGAGAAATATTTATCAACAGAATGGGGCTGTTTACTCTGAAGAATAAGACACAAAAAAAACTTGGTTAAAAACATTATGATATGTGCAAAAACTAAGAACACTAATAAATGTATGTCAAAAAAGTATGTAACGTACAATAATACATCCGCTCTACTAAAAGAACAAAGTCGGCACAGCTTATGCTCGCCAATGCTGCATTTATTTGATCAAAAATAGAGTAAAAACTGTAATTTTGTGAAATATGATTATAATTTAAAATAACTGTTTTCTATTTGAATATATTTTAAAATGTAATTTATTCCTGTGATGGTAAAGCTGAATTTTCAGCATCATTACTCCAGTCTTCAGTGTCACAAAATCCTTCAGAAATCATTCTAATATGCTGATTTACTGCTCAAGAAACATTTGTTTATTATAATAGTTATTTCATAATAGTCGAAAACAGTTGTGCTGCTGAATATTTTTGTGAAAAGCACGATTCCCCCCCCCCCCCCAAGATTCTTTGAAAGTTAAAAAACAGCATTTATTTTAAATTTAAAAAAAATTGTAACATTATAAATGTTTTTACTGTAATTTTTGATCAATTTAATGCGCCCTTGCTGAATAAATAAATAAATAAATCATTAATTTAAATAAATCCATTTATATGAATTCATCATAAAGAAGCAATAACCACACTGGTTGAAGTGCTGGTAATAAAAAGTTTCAGACATACTTTAGACAAATTGTTTATAGTTTAGACTTCAGACTATCTCATTGGATTAACAGATTATTAATGAAGATAATAATGCATATAAACCTATAACTGCTCCCTTACATGCTGCTCAGGACTGAAGAATCCCTGTTTCTCCCACCACCGATACCAGCCAAACTCCACATATTCTGGGCTGTAGGATTGTGGGAAGGGCAGACTGGTGTCTAAAAGAGAGGATGTTTGGAAGACATGGGAGTTAAAGAGATAGGGATGATATCACAGGCATCTATAATACGGTAACTGCATTAGTCAAACATAAACCCCATCAGTGGAAAAAACATTCAGAGCATCAATGCACAGTAACACAAGAAATAATATGAAGAGAAGGAGGAAAAGCATTCTGTTACCTTTCTTCTCTCCAGGTAAGAGTGCTTCATTGTAGGTTGTTTTCTCTTTATCAGACCAGCTCAGTTCAACATCATTCACATCCTATAAGAGTTAAAGGGTTATAAGGCTTGAATGGTTTTTAAACCATATGAAATGTGCACTGTTTTGATTATGCATAACCCACACTACTGAGTATGGCCTTCTCCCGTGCTCGTCTGCGTTTGGCTTTCTCAGCTTGTGTCCTGGGATGATGTGAAGGCTGTGTGTTGGATGGGGTTTGAGAGCAGAGTCTGCAAGCCCATGTGCTCCAGGCTTTCTGTAGATCTCTGCTCCAGATTCTGGGTGAAACCACATGCACAGACTTCCACATGTCCTGAAATCTGGAGCGCTTAAGCATGGAACTAGTGTAAAAAGACAAACAAAATTTGTCTTGTAACCAAAATGTGACCACACACACACACATGTCTGGTCCACTATCTTTGTGGGAACTCTCCATAAACGTAATGGTTTTTATACTGTACAAACTGTATATTCTGTCCCCTTACACTAACCCTACCCCTAAACCTACCCATCACAGAAAACTTTCTGCTCTTTTACATTTTCTAAAAAACATCATTAAGTATGTTCATTAATCAATTTCCCTTGTGGGGACCATTGGCTAGTCCTCACAATGTAGGTGATTTCACGTTTTACTATTCTTGTGGGGACATTTGGTCCTCACAATCTAATAAAAACGAGAGCACACACACACACACACACACACACACACACACACACACACACACACACACACACACACACAAAAGACTAAATAATTGTAAACAATTATTTAATTTGTGCATCACATTTAAATTCTTGAGTAATAAAACAAAATAAAATTCTTAATTTTTTTTAGACATGACACCATGGTATTTTTTGCCATGTACTTTGGAGTCAGTGTTGTTATTGTTAACTACAATTAAACAATTAAAATCATTTTTTGGTCACTGCAATAAAGCTGAAATGAAATGAAATATAAATATTAGATGAAAAACCTCAAACTTAAAAAAAAAATTATATATATATATATATATATATATATATATATATATATATATATATATAGTAAGCATTCAGTACAATGGTACAAAAACAAAAAAAAATACATGAAACAAACAAACATGCAGGATCAAAGATGTTTGATAGTCCTTTAAGCGATCAATGAAAGTTCGCCTTTAAGAAAATATTATTAATAAATGCGTACTGCAACTTTATGAAAGGGATCCTTTACAGAATTCACACGTAATCTTATGATCAGAGAAAAACTGCATTTTGAAAATGACAGATAAAAAGGAAGGTACCTTCACTAGATGTGTGCTATCACTGGGCGCAGACATATTGCGGATACGGCATTGATTTTTCCCAGTGATATATTTAGGTTTTTAAATTCGGTATGACTTAAAAACACAAACGAGTGATAAATCAAATCGCTGCGAACAGTTAAAGTTAAATTAGAGGGGATTATATTTCCTTCTCGATATACAAGTTCTTGTAGCGTCCGCTGTTTCCTACCGGGTAGTTTTTAGAGGAACACTCAGCGGTTGCGTCTCAAAAGCTAATGACCTGTCTATCTAGACAGCGTTGCTACGCGTCAAGATTGCGTTGCTCTTTCTAAGATCGTAAAAGTTTTGACGTGTTTCGAGTAACCATCGATTTATATCTAGAATTTAGCTGAGCTGACTTAAAATACATCTATAATGTCACAAATTCAGTCTAGGTAGTCAGCTCACTAGTTTTTTGAAACACAGTCAACTTTTAGAATCTGGTCCGTCCGTAAATGCGTCCTTCCGAGGAGTGATTAGACTAGTGCAAATTCATCTCAGATGCATATAGCGTCTAGCTCGACATTTTGACACGACAACCAACAACTGAATATTTGTTTTCTAATATTCTCGAAATTGAGACCAGACTTTCATCGATCAAACGCCTCTGGGAAGGTTTATTCGGGTTTCATCAGTGCTATGGCGGAGGTCCAACGTAACGTTACAACGAGTGAGACGATAACGGAGACCGTTCAGGTTCAGACGGGCACACCGCCTCCACCGCAGCAGGTATCCTGCCCTATTTACTGTAGTAGACACCATCACTAACCACACTTGCACGGAATAATTCAGCTAAGAGCTGAGACCTCTTGTAATTAACTAAGTTAATCGTTTTATAGTTAGCATATCGACTATTAAATAGACTAGCCAGATACCAAGGCCTGTTTAGTAATCAACATGTTCAGCAGGGTTTATGTGCTCAACTGGTTTGGCAGTGTGTTATGATCTTAAATTAATCCCCATCGCAGCAAAAATACACCTGTTAATGTTCTAGCCTGTTATAGACCTTAGAAAACGGTACCATGGTAACCACCGTTTTCCGTTTAGTTACAACAACTTATGTTAACGTTACTGCCTTCAAAAATTATAGAAAGTAAAAAATTGTGAAAGCATTTTACAGCACTTAAGTTACTCAAAAAAAGTGCTGAAAATAGTACCAATTATAAAACCATAAAACAAACAAACAATAAACGTTACTGTAATACATTTTAAATAAAAGTTAGCTAAATCAAATAAGATATTTAAAAAAAACTTATTTTTCTACTAGTTGCCATGTTGCCAACATTTCTCATACAAAAAACCCTGAAATAATGAATAAAAACTAATATAAATGACAAAACGCATAACAAAATTACTGCAACTTTAAAATGAAAAGTATATAAAATATATAAAAAAAAATTTTTTTATATGAATAAAAACTATAATAGTGTCTCACTTGGTAGTAACTTACCATGGCACAGTTAAGTATCAATGGTTGTGCCATAGAGGCTATTATTTATAATTGTATTATTTGGATTCATAATTTATTTATTTATTTGTAATGAAAACTCCAATAATTTTTTTTGTCTTCATAATGTTTGACAAATAAAATATAGTTACAGGTTATACCACAATATTGAATGATTATAACCATATTTATATATACCATAATACATGGTATTCTACTACAGTAATTTAAAGAATACATGGTGTTGCTGTGGTGTATGTCTAACAGACCTTGGTTTAACCATGATGGTACTTGGTACATAGTAAGATCCCATGTTAATTGATTGTGTTTTTACAGTAGTAACACAAAGTAGTTTTATAGCAGAAACTATGGTTGCCGTGATAGATTTAGCTATCATCATGATCAAACCTATTATTGGTTGCGCATATTCGAAACAACATTTACTAATGTCACTAAGGGGCCATTTACTTTACACGACACCATTTTCAACTAAAAACGGAAACCTTTTAATGCTTTTTTGGCTGTTAATTTACACGACAACGCCATTTTGGGGGCCTGAAAATGGGATTCAAAGTGCACGTTTTTGAAAACGATACCATTATTGTCTCCATGTAAACTACAAAAATGTGAATTTGTGAAAACGGTGATGTCATGCCCATGCATATTACGTGTTCAGTCTATATGCGTGTAGTGTTTCTATTCAAAGTGTTATCGCCAACTACTGGCCTGACAGCAGAATACAGCATTTTTAATAGTTTTCGCTGATCCATGTGAGCAGGGATCGTTTTGACGACGTTGTTGAAAAACATTTCCGTTGTCGTGTAAACGTGCCCTAATAATCTCCATATGATTGTTTCAGGAGGGAAGAAGCTTGACCATCAAGCTCAGGAAAAGGAAGACGGAGAAGAAAGTGGAGTGGTCCAGTGACACGGTGGACAATGAACATCTGGGCCGGAGGTCTTCAAAGTGTGAGTCAGGGTTTATTAGTGTAGATCTGGTGGTCTGAATTATGGACGATCATTCAATCTGTTTATCTATTGAGAATTTCTTGTAAAACATCAAAATCTGTTTAATACTTGGAAAAATGGTGTAGGACAGGCAGATCTGGGTCATTTCAAGTCTGCTTTAAAATAGCTGACCTTAAAAATTGGGTTTAGAACGACCTGCGTCTGTTTAAAGCGGCAGATTGAATGTTTCATTTCTTGAAATAGAACGTCCTTTTTCCTGTCACTTTCTTCTAAAAACACTTTGATATCTCCAGGTTGCTGTATTTACGAGAAGCCACGACAGTTCGGCGAGTCTTCCTCGGAAAGTGAGGGGGATGACGAGGAAGGCTGCGGAAGTGCGCATTGTGTTCTGGGACATGGGAGAAGAGACAATGAACAGAGGGAGGGTGGTGGGACCACAGCGCCACCTAGTTCTGGGGGAACAAACCCTCGCTAGAAGTTAGCGGGAGAGTCGGTTTGGAGGGAAGGGTAACGGGCGGCACTACATTCATAATCCCTCATCCTCACTCACACTGAATTACATCACACCATCACTGGGTGTCAAAAGCTTTTTGATGAATGAAAGCTTGTAGAGCAATGCAATGTGATTTTGTTTTCCCCGTGGTCATTAGTGTGATGACTTGGGGAAGACTAAACCTTTTTTGCGATCTGAATGCTGCGGAAAATTGATATTTGTTGTACATATGACATTAGTTTTTATTTCTTTTTGTGAAATCTATAGTTATTTGTTTGTGTTTAACAACTTGATCTTACCAGTTATGTGTCCACAAACAATATTTTAATGAATTAAAAACCTTCAAATGTAATTCGGGAAGGTTATACCTCCGTGCGAATTTAAAAGGATTAAATGCAGTATAAAAAATTAATTTTATATCTTGCTGTGTCACATTTCTAGGAGCAGTATTTCTTCATATCACTTGATCACTTGAGGAAATTCAAGCGTAATGTGTTGTGTGCTATAGTGAATTTAAAAAATGACAGATTTCAGGAACTCAACCCTTTGAATATATTTACAGGGGCACATTAAATCACCTCCATTAGTTTTCACAAGTTTGATTGAGATTTAGTGGGGCTCCCCTCAGACAATCAGGCCAGTAAGAAACTCGGCATGTACATAAAAAGACATTAATGTGTTTAAAACGTAGTAAAGTGGACTGAAACTTTTAAATTCATTCTGAATGCGAGGTGAGAACGGGACCTTGATCATTACCCAAAACTAAAGTAAATTAAAAAGCAGCAGTGAAATTAAACAGTGGTATACTGATTTGAAAACACATAGATTTGGCAATTATCCTTTTTATTCTCATGTTTTACATGAAACCCAGGGGAGAATGTTTTGGTGTGTGTGATTGAGAAGATCACCCTGTGACATGCCTCATTTCATCCTGGTCACGATGGCTGCTTTTATTTAGCAGAAATTGGTATAAAATCCAGCTAAAAGTGGGAGAGGTGCATGCTGTCAGCATGATGTATAGTAGTTTGATTTGAGCTTTAAGGATTGATTATATGTGGTTGTGAAGAGCACGGGAAGGTGCATGACTGAATGCTGGCCAAGAACAAAATGCACATAGCATCATCTCTCCACCGATGTCAGATACAGTTTACAGTTGATTCCCATCAGGACCATCGCATCAGTCATCTGTATCCCAGCATTCACATGCATCTGTCGTCCCTTTACTGTGAACGCACCTGTATGTACATAGCAAAGGTCATAGAGTGGATTTAACATGAATAAACAGATGTTAAGTTATGTTCTTTATATCTATTAAATGCTTAACGGCAACCTGAATGTGTCGTCACTTTTTGACTCCCGTCCTGATTGTGTTGTACATTTATGTAATGATTCAGTTGAGGCATTATTAATAGATAATCTATTATTATTATATAATCAATTATTAATAGATTTTAGAAGCTTTGGTAAAACAGATTAAAGCAGTCATGTGTAAAATGACAAATCATAATTTTAATCTACATTAGCAGCATTGAATGGAGCTGTGGATCAATGTTGTTATTAACTAAAACTAATGATTAAAAAAAAAATGACGCACAAATGAAAACTAATTTAAATGAAAGCACTAATTCAAAATAAATAGCATAGAATGATACTAAAATAACACTGCTGTAGATTATTAGTTGGAATGGAGGTGCTCATTTGGATAATGTGTTCAAAATAAGGTAAATCCATAAACCCTAATATGTTGCTACTGTATTTTTAAGGTTTATTTCTGTTAATCACAGCAGCTGCTTTTTTACTGTAAATTTCGTAGTGGCACTTCCTGATCTCTTTCCTCTCTCTCTCCCTCACACATAATAAACAATAATATTAGAAATATAAGGGAACTTAATCTGAATATGTGACCACATCTGTGTCAGTTTATTGAAGAAAGTCACCATAGACATACTCCAGACATGAAATGTGGGAAAAGGAAGTTTATTTGAGCTGTAAGGACTATTAAAGACTCAGTGTGCAGCACTTAAGAGCTGTAAATGTAGATCTCTCTATCCCACAACACAACCTAGATACATCTATCCTTGAGCTGTAATCCATTTCACTCTACAGCAGACATTTCTATTCACAGCCGTCTGGTTTCAGCAGTGGCCCGCACTTCAATGGACTCGGAACTTACAAACATAAAAAAAACCACACACATTTTAAAGAACCTTCAAAGGTTACGTGGAAGGATTCTTCCATTGCTCAAGGTTGCAGTGAACCAACAAATCTAGCGCAACATTTTAATGCTTAAATAATTGACATGAACAACCAAGAAATTGATGAGCCAGTACCATAAAGAAGAAAAAAAAAAAGTCAACATAAGAAAAGCATTTCACAAGTTTTTCATTGTTCTATAGTGTCATGCATAGATAAAATGCTATTTTTGGAACACATTCAGGAGGAGAAAGCTATTGTTACAAGCGAGAGACACGTTTGTGCAACAAAGCATTATATATTAAGCTTTCAGTATGCAGTTGTGCAAAATTACTTCTATCATTACCCATAATTCCCTGTGAACTGGCCAAAGTACCAGATATCATGAGGCACAAAAGATATGATAATCAACTGAAACATAAATGAAGCAAATAAGAACGACAATACATTTGAAATCAATCAAAACATGCAGTTAATGCTGTAATGAAGCATACATAAATATATGTCAAACACAGTGGTTCTAATGACGTAAGGAAGTCTTAGATTTTACCAACAGGTTGAATGAATGAAAATGACACAAGAAGAGAAAAATGTAGTGCACAGGTTTGCTGTATGTAAAAGGTATTTTAAGCTATTCTTTCAAAATTTTGCGTCCAATTGCGTCCTTTGCAATTGCACTCAAAAAGTTCACCAAGATTGTCTGTGAGTGGACTAATGGGCTGAATAAAAGATGAGAGATATAATGAACTCAATCCATTACACGGAAGAACACATTACAGAAATGAACAGTCCAGAGACTCCGTTAGAGGCAACATCGAGCTACGAATAAAGTGACACATGCAGATTTGCATTACATACAGCGTGGAGTTGTAAAGGTGTCGATCACCATATAAAACCAATGTTTCGGTACAAACAACTAGTCGATTCACTGGATGAGCCTTCAGAATCATGCAATATTCCACCTAAAGTCTCAGTGAAATTCCCTGACAATCAATCATTGCTGGTTCTTCGGGTTTGTAGATGACTTCCTGTGCAGGCTGTCTTGTGGCAGATGTTGTTTGTTGTTTATCGCTGTGGCTGTAGATTCTAGTGTTTTACTCATTCACTTCTACTGCTGGTGTGCCATGTCAAAATTGTTTTGGGGAAAACTAAAAGTACATTTTAAAGTGAGGAAAAAAACTATTGGTGGAGAGAAAGATGTGCTGGTATATTTAGGGTGTTCTTCAATCGCTCAAGTTGGTGGAAGTTGTGGGTGGTCGATGTTGAAGTGGCTAAATCTTCATTGAGAGATCATGGTACTGGACTATCAGTATTTCAGCAACCTGTGGCAGAAACAGACACATGGTTAATGACAGTTGCATTATGCAATATGAGAATAGCCTGATGTTTGTGTGTTCTACTTAACTTGAAAGGAACCGTTAATTCAAAAATGAAAATCCTGCCATAATTTTCCCTGATGTCGAGCTTTGCTGGAGGGAATATCGATTTAAATTTTGGTCTGTCTGTTGCAACGTTATCGTATGACTTCAGAATACTTTAGATATATAAAATGAGTTGTATAGACTACTTTCATGATACTTGATGCTTTTTGAAAGGTGATTTTGCATACAAATTCATTGCAATTGTATGGCAAAGAAAAAACAGCACAGGCTTCATATTTTCTTTTTGTGTGAAACTCACACAGAAAGTAATTTGAGTTTGAAACAACATGAAGGTGATTCAATGATGAGATGGTTTTTGGGTGAACTATCCCTTATAGCCAAAGACAATGACAATTTATTATTTCTATCATGAAAACTATCAGAAGAGTTTATCATGGTAATTGATATGACAATGTTAATGTATTTGGTCTTGGTGGAAAAAATCTGCTACACTGCTGTTGTTGATTATTGCTTTTGTAGATTATAACTTGCTACTGCCAATACATATGCCGATACGCTGCTTTAAGACATGCTGCACAAATTGCATATATATATATATATATAAATTACCCATAGCAGATCTATACAGGTGGAGCTGGGGAAGGTGGAGGGTTTCAGAAGAACTCTTGAAAGCGTGCTGCAAACTGCTATAGTGAATGCTAACCTGCCATTTAAATGTTGAGAAGCAAGCTCATTGGGTGAACCAATCAGCTCGTGCCAAGTAGTTAATGCTTTGAATATCATCAGCTTGCGTTAAGGACCCATCAGCCTGCCATTTAAAGTTTCATAACAGAACTAGTCATTTACACCCCCATAAACAGTCTTTGTCTGGAATCATGCATTTTCAAAGATTGTCCTCCTCCCCCAGAGATCATATCAGCAGGGAATGATGTAAGGCTTAAAACCGCAAGCTGGTTTCACAGCTCTCTGAAAATGTCACGCTTGTTTTTCTCTGGTTGAAAAATATAAACCGCAACCCCCACAGCAAATGTTAGGACTATTTCTAAAAATCAAACTGTAATTCATAACTGGATGTTCTGTTGAAAATATGGGTGGTTCGCAGTGTTTTGCCAAGCAACTACTAAAGTGTCCTTAGTGGGTTTTAGTACATTGCGATGCGGTTGCTAGGGTGAATTATATGGGACGAAAAGGTGCCGGATTTACAGTAATTACGATATTTCGACTTGTAAAAAAAGTGAATGTCCTCGTAGAACTCGTAATTACAACTTGCAAACTCAGAATTTTCTAAGAGCTACTGCGACTTGTACAGCTTGACCACTGCAGATTCATTTTTGCCGTTGATAGTGTTGCGCATAATTCCAAGTCCGAGGACAGGAACAACTCAGAGTAGAACGTCACGGGTTGTCATCACATAATTACGACATGGCATGCCGTGAACACAGCAAAAATTGTAAGTTTAGAAATGAATGGTTTGAAAAAATTTAAAAAATGTAAATGAAAGTAATCAAAATGACGCTTACTGATTTTTTAGTTGTTTACCTGCATGTCACGTGACAATTAACCGAGATCAGAGAACTGTGAACATGCAAATGTGTTTTTGAAATATTAAATTAAAAAGGCAGTACAAGTAAATATTTTAGGCATCCCTGGTTTAGAGTGTTACAGCACACCTCTCCTTAACAAGCCTCAAGATTTGAGGTATATTTTGAGGTATAGCATAAATGATGCAGGATGCGTTATGCACCAAAGTTTAATACTTATGTTGCAGGTTTGTGATTAGTAGTGGATAGATTCATAAAATGCATAATTAGATAAAAGGAAAGCAAATCAAGAAAACAACAGATTCCATGGGCAAAAACAACTACTTACCCAGTTTTACCTGGCTTTTCCTAGGTCTTCAACTCATCTGTTTAACTCCATTTTTGCTTTCGTCAGTGGTCTGCTGTGGCTTATTCTGCTCCCATATGTCGACCTGTTCCTCCTCACCCTCTTTGACCTCATCGTCACCTTTCCCATCATCCCCCTCTGCCAAAGCCTCATTCTGCCGTACACTGACAGAGATGACCAGGGCTTGCACGATGCCATAGATCAAAGCAAACATCAGCAGGTACTCCTGTACTGCCCACAGCAGTCCGGCCATCCCGACAGATGCCACCAGAAACATGGCCATCCCATGGAGCCACAGCTTCAGGGCCCCCTGCACCCCCAGCACGTCCAAAATGATCTTGGTTGGAGGGGATACAGTACTCAGGAAGCCCACCACGAACAAATCAAAGAGGTGTCGGAGGAAATTAAAGCAAATGTTGTAGTGGTCAGGCACAATTTCCCCAGTCCACGAGCGAGAGAAGAAGCGGAATGCTGCTGATGGCTGCTGAGACAGCAGCGTGGGGGATGGCGGGGGTGTCCCGTAGTCTGATTCCCCGTCGACTTCATCACAGTCCCATGTACCTTCATTCCACCCGGCACATTTCTGCTGACGGAGCACGGTGGACGTCGACCACCGGGGCCAAAAGAAGTATCTGGATGGAAGCATTCTCCTCCACCAGCGTGAGGAGCTTTGGGCCGCTGCTTTCTCAGGCTCAACAGCAGGCCCCAACGCTCGAAGCTCTTCTACTTCCAAAGGCTTAAAACTCTCTTCGGTCTCCCAGAATTCCTCAGTGAGTGTCTTTTGGTCCTTTTTGGTATTCTCGCCCCTCCAAACCCAAGCAGTAAGTCCCCATAAACCCCATCTGCTTTCAATCTGACTGTCCATTGTTAATGGTTTCTCTGGTTTGGTCTTACTGCCCCAGAACGAGTATAGATTTGCTGGACTGACCCACCCCCAAACTCTCCCTACAACTGCTGTCATGTCCGCAGTTTCACTTTATAATGCACAAAGGAAAGAAAGAAAAAAAAAACCTATAACATGAATAAAGTGTCACTGTGTGAAAATGCTAATATGTTTAATGAATTGTTAATTAACTTTAGTATAAAGCAATAATTAAATTGCAAAAAACTATAGTATTAAGCAATAATGTGAACAGGTAGCTCTTAATCTAATGGCATAGCTATTAAAAAGTCAAAAACGACGGTTAGTGTCCCTTTAAGACAACATGTAAAGTTTTACAATGCCACACGTACAAGGCATCAAACAACGACACCTCAACCGACCTGTATTAAGGCGTGATTGTATTAGAGCAAATGAACCAGAACATAACTTACGGACCACACCCTTGCAAATTACTCGATGACAGGAAGAGAATTTAATTTTTAATTAAAATTAATAATAAAAACAAAAAATATCACTGTGGCAGTAGGGTTTCATACATTTTTTGCTCTACAAGTATTTTCCTCGGGCGAAACGGCGTCGGTTAGCATGTCTGAACAAGCCGATCGACTCTTTAAACAAAACTTTAAACGCTAAACTGTGTCGATGTCGAACGGCGAAACACTATCGACTGGATAATCAAACATAACGTTACCTCCGAAGTCAAATCTTTGATGTACAATAATAACTGACAGATAAGTTACATCTTCAGTACATCACAGTCGCTGCTCTGCTTCAGTTGCTAAAAACAGTTCAGATCACTTATCGATGCCAGCTTCACATTCCTGTTCACTACCGCCCTGCACAAACAGGCTCAAACATAAATGTTTCAAATAATAAATAATCGACAGAATGGGAAAATACAGTCCGGTGTAATTCCAAAAGATTTCCGGCGTTTTGACTGAGATAACGAAAAAAGAAATGCAATAAAAACTGACTGTGCACGAGCTGATTTAATGGACTATGGGAAGTGTGACTGACTCATTCCCGCGAACCGATTCTTTCAAATGGCTGATCAAAAATTAAATGATTCTCGTGGGATTTTTGATAGAAAAAAACGTCTCGATAAAACCATATAAATGCATGTATTGCTGTTCGTTACGAATCAGATAAAAGGGCATATAAATAGTATACTACTACTTTTACATTTATGCAATTAGGAGAGGGTTTTATTCAAAAAAAAGAAAGCAGCATTTTTTTTCCAGAGTGGCAACTATTTAAAGTGTACAATGACAGGTTTAAGAGATGTGTGCTATTATTATGCCTTTTCGAATCCGGAGTATCACACTACTTTTACTTCATATAGTAACAAATATGGACACATCTATCTATTGGTCAATTTAAGAATTTAACCAGTCTCTATCAAGCTGTTCTCAGGTCAAACAATGAGTTTCAAGATTCATTGAAAAGATCCGACTCAAAAGATTCGTTCACAAATATGGCGTCATGGTCATTACGCATTAGTACGTGAAGAACAAAAGCGGTTACATTGTCATCACTGACCCAATGACCTTCACTTTGGAGATGTATGGGAGTCCGTATAAACTGTTAAAGTATACTGTTTTTTAAAGCGTGCACGTTTATTTGTCGCAAAGTAGACTAGTCGCAAAAAATACATATGTAGTGATAGTCAAATATGATGAACGCCACAACTAAGAGAAACAACCCGTTTTCATAATAAAGGTCCTTTGTGATCCCGATCAAACAGCAGAATGGGGTTACATGAAGAAATCCGCAATTGTGTGATGTGCTTGAAAACTTCAAAAGACCCAAAGGCAAAACATCTCAGGCCTCTATACAAACTGATTATATCTCAAATTATTTATTTTTTAATCTGACTGCACAGATATTTCATAAATAACCAAATTCATACTTGAAAGGTTTGACCCATGATCTTAATATAAATTACAAAGTAATAGAAAGGAATCACTTGCGCCTCAGCCTAGCCAGTGCTCTCGGAACAGGACAACAATCTGAGAAAAAGGACCCAAGGTCTAACTAGGACCAAGGAGCAGGACCGGAGCACAGAACGTTTTAACATATTTATTAGTACAAAATGACCAACATTTTGACGCACATGCATCATCTTCCGAGTCTGACTTTGAAGACGCATGTGCGTCGAAATGTTGGTCATTTTGTACTAAATATATTAAAACGTTCTGTGCTCTGGTCCTGCTCCTTGGTCCTAGTTAGACCGTGGTTCCTTTTTCTCATAAATTACAAGGTGTTATAGGGTGTAAATTAGCTACATGGTATGAATGCTACTATACTATTAAAATGACTGTCAAACTATTTTTTACCCTTTATCCAGCAACATGAATACGGTGAGGCATAGAATTACATGCACAAAGATGGACATGCAACTAAAAAAACAACTTAATATCAAGCTGTAATTGATTTTTTTTGTTTTGTTTTAATGTAAATGTAAAACTCAATTTAGAAAATGCAGTTTACAAAGAACTGGAAAGTGAAAAACAAGCAGATACTAAAACTGTCCTTGGAAAAACAATAGCAATGAAACAATCGTTTCAACTGAAACACAATACAACAGAAGCTTGACATTGTCCTGCAGACCGGCAACAACTCCTCTGCCACGGCTAACTTCTGTCCTTTAAAGAAAACAACAAATGTATTAGATTACAAAAACAATAAAAAGTGTATCAGTTATCTGTCAGTGTTTCAGTGCGCCGCGAGAAAGTTACTTCATTGACTTTCAGTGGAACCGAACTACGCACTCATCATTAACACAAGCTATAACCAAAGATAGGTTTACTGGACCAGTACTTACGGGTCGGCACATTCACATGCATATACCCATCTTTGGCACCACATCAACCTAAGAGAAAAAGCCAAAGTAAATCAGGAGTTCTTCATTACAAATACATGTTTATAATCAAAAGCTGTGCTCAGAGAAATGTAAAGAGCTTCATGTTGTCATCAGAGACTCTAGTCTATTGAATCATCATTGCACATCACTAATAAAAGATCAGCTCTGTTAGGATAACACCACCAACCTTTATAGAATCATGGACTCAAGACGTTAACGTCTACGTTGGCTTAAAATCCTTAGTTGAAAACCTTGAAAATAGAAAAAAATGTTAGAACTCATGGGCCACACTTGCAAAGTCATGGCTCATGGGAATAAGAAATTAGTTCTTTCTTACTGGTCGTCTACTGTTGACATGAACCATCCTGTTGGGATCCAACCTGTAAAAATAACTTGGACATTAGGGACATTCAAGCCACTTCTATTCAATCACAAGCTGTACTCCATGTGTTCAGTGTATTATAAAGAGCTTCATGGGTAAATCAGAGACTCTAGTCTAATGATTCATCATTACATGCAATAATGGACAATATGCTTTCCTTTGAAAAGAAAGATTAATTGTTAGAGGTTTTCATTGGCATAAACTTTCTTACCCATTGGATGTAAACTGTTGACATCGGCTACCTGGCAACATCGGTTTCTCCCATCCAACCTACAAAAAAAAACAAAAAAAACATTTAGGAACATTCAAGCCACTTCTATTCAGTCACAAGTTTTACTGCATGTGTTCAGTGTATTATAAAGAGCTTCATGGGTAAATCAGAGACTCTAGTCTAATGATTCATCATTACATGCAATAATGAGCATTAGGACAATATGCTTTCCTTTGAAAAGAAAGGCTAATTGTTAGAGGTTCTCATTGGCATAACCAATTTCTTACCCATTGGTTGGGTAACTGTTGACATCAGCTACCTGGCAACATTTGTTTCTCCCATCCAACCTAAAAAAAAAAAAAAATTAACATTTAGGAACATTCAAGCCACTTCTATTCAATCACAAGCTGTACTGCATGTGTTCAGTGTATTATAAAGAGCTTCATGGGTAAATCAGAGACTCTAGTCTAATGATTCATCATTACATGCAATAATGAGCATTAGGACAATATGCTTTCCTTTGAAAAGAAAGACTAACTATTAGAGGTTTTCACAGGCATAAATTATTTCTTACCCATTGGATATAAACGGTTGACATCAGGTACCTGGCAATGTCAGTTTCTCCCACCCAACCTAAAAAAATGATTTTAACATTTAGGAACATTCAAGCCACTTCTATTCAATCACAAGCTGTACTGCATGTGTTCAGTGTATTATAAAGAGCTTCATGGGTAAATCAGAGACTCTAGTCTAATGATTCATCATTACATGCAATAATGGACAATATGCTTTCCTTTGAAAAGAAAGATTAATTGTTAGAGGTTTTAATTGGCATAAACTTTCTTACCCATTGGATGTAAACTGTTGACATCAGCTACCTGGCAACATCGGTTTCGCCCATCCAACCTACAAAAAAAAACATTTAGGAACATTCAAGCCACTTCTATTCAATCACAAGTTTTACTGCATGTGTTCAGTGCATTATAAAGAGCTTCATGGGTAAATCAGAGACTCTAGTCTAATGATTCATCATTACATGCAATAATTAATGGACTATATGCTTTCCTTTGAAATGAAAGACTAATTGTTAGAGGTTTTCACAGGCATAAATTATTTCTTACCCATTGGATATAAACGGTTGACATCAGGTACCTGGCAATGTCGGTTTCTCCCACCAAACCTAAAAAAAATATTTTAACATTTAGGAAAATTCAAGTCACTTTTACTCAATCACAAGCTGTACTGCATGTGTTCAGTGTATTATAAAGAGCTTCATGGATAAATCAGAGACTCTAGTCTAATGATTCATCATTACATGCAATAATGGACAACAGGGGTTTTCAATCTTTTAAATGCTACGGACGGACCACCAAATATGATCATCATACAATTTAAAAGGCAAATATATATTTAGATGTATAAAAGACCCAAATTATTTTCAACCGTTACATTTTAATCATTTTTTTTAAATTATTAATTTTAGTTCGAAACATTTTTATAATTATTTTGATTACTATTATTTATTTTTACACTGCTTTTCTCTTAACTCTTCCACGGACTCCAGTTTGAAAACCCCTGAAAGAAAATGAAAATGTTGTAGTATCATACTCACAACGAAATTCTAGCAACTTCGGTCCATTTCTTTGCAATTTGTTTCTCGGCTCTAACATGACAATATTCAGGATTAGTAAACATTTACAAACAATGAACAATATTCTCAAGTCATATTCGATAAAGCTGGTCTATGGACTAAAAGTATCTATCTGCGACCACGAGGGCGAGGCCATAAGCGCCTAATCTTTTTGCAGGTCTTTGTTTAGCGTTAACGAACGGGCTGTCGGCGTTCCACAACGAATTTAAACTGATGGGCTAAACTGTGTTTTTCGTATTTAGCACAAAACAAAGTCCGTTTATCACTACCTCTAATACTGCAACCAGACTGCAACCAACATCCGCAGAATGACACAAGGATCGCGCAACGTCCACGCAAGGAAATTTAAGAGGGTCCTAATGATGCTGCAGGCAGGGTAGTAAAATATCTGCCTGAATGAAAATGTGAGCACATTTTCCTGCATGAAATTTTAAACATATTTCTTATTATTGTTCTTCGTCTTTTTTTATTTTACAAATTAAATTTTAAAGATATTATGCATGCAGTTTTTTATGACTTTTTCATTTTAATTGAGAGATGGAATATCTGTACAATTTTCACACCGCAAAAGTATATAATTAATAGTTATTAATTCAATAATATATCAAAAGCACAGCCAGACAGCATGCAGCGGTAGTTGCTGGCAATCAAATTTGGCTATTAAAAAAACAGAAATCACGAAAAAGGGAGTTAGTAAAATTCTGTCAAAGAAAAGTTGCAGGGTGATAATAGCAAATAAAGAAAAAATATATATTAAAGGGTAGAAGAATTGTAATGTTTATATGGCCATTTGACTTCTGGCTGCAGTATAATAGTTGCTATGCAGCACAAAGTTGTGCGACGTTGCCAAGAGGAAACGGAAATAAATCTTCTAAAGCCGCACATTTCTGCTACAGTGTCTAGATGTATTTATTTATTGACATTTTCAGAGCTATAACTGCAATCCTTTAAATAATTACAGATGTTGGTAGACTTCTGTGGTATTTTGGCGTCTTGAATCCTGCAGGCGTGTGTTTTAACAGCACTACGGCGCTCAAGCCGCTCATCCCGCACAACACAAGGGAAGGGAGTGACACAAACAATGGGAGGACAGAGGAATCATTGATAACACCGCTATACATCTATGCCTCTAAACAAGCCTACTACTGAAGCGGCACTAATGTGGAACTGGTATTTTAAGTGCTGGCCAGTGATGCAGTGAGAATCGATTGCCACTGTGATAAATGCATCTGAATCTGCAGTAGGGCATTTGTAGAGTATTGTTTTAAGATTTCAGATCTGTCCTTACAATGGATTTCCCTTTCGACCTCAATGCGCTTTTTCCCGAGAGAATTTCAGTGCTGGATAATAACTTGAGTGCAGGTCGGAAAGCGCATGGCAGGTAATGTATGTTTTAATGTGAACTATAGAGGGGGTGTAATCTGTTGGGAGGTGTGCAACATTCAATGCTTTTGTCTTGTAACAGTGGTTGACACAGTTGTGCATTACTATACACTGACTGCTACCAGTGTGGGGTGTTTTATTAGGCTAAATGTCATCTTTTACGAGGTCATCTTTATAATCTTTTTTTCATATAATGATAAGCTTATTGCTGTATGGAGAGCTTGACGTCAGATGATGGAAATGCGGCCCTGAGTTAACAACAAATCTGTTTTAATCTGCCATTGGTTTAATCTGAACAATGCTGATTCAGTAAAGCAGCCATATACTTCACTATAATTACATTATCATAATCACACAATGCGATGGATGGATGTATGGATAGATAGATAGATAGATAGATAGATAGATAGATAGATAGATAGATAGATAGATAGATAGATAGATAGATAGATACTACTATTTGTAATGCGCCCATCCAAGACGTTACAACACATTTAACAAAAAAAATAAAAAAATAAAAAAATAATACATAATACAATGATAATTTTAAAAATATTAAAAACTTGACTTAAAACAAATGTTTTGAGCAGTTTCTTAAAAAAATCTTAAACCAAAACTGATCATTCCTAATGGAAACGTGTAATGAATTCCATAACTTTTTAATAAAAACATTTGTTAAGAAGGAATTTGTGGTGGGGTTTCAGCATACATAACCATCACTGAATGTTACAGCATACATTACAATAAATACAATTCAATATTTTAAATGCATTTTAAAATTCACCAAAGATTATTTCATTTAACCAATAGTGTGTGCATCTAATTTGCCAACATTTAAAATTAAATCAATTTTAAAATAGAATTTTACAGCTTTTATTCCTTCTGTATTAACTATAAGGTAATATACTGTATATTCTAATGTGCCTGTTAAAGATTGTAAAAAAATACATTTATTTTCAATGAAACCAAAATGTTGATTCTAGTCTTATCAGATGAAAACAGTTTATTTTTGTCTCAAAGGCCCTCCTTTGTCCAAGACAATATTCAAAGGCCCTCATATCTTACTCTGGTATAATCTAAAAAAAAAAAAAACAACAAAAATCCTCAAAGAACCATTACTCTAGTCTAGAATGAGCATGTTCCTCCCCATGGAACAAATCAGCGAGTAGCTAATCATGATAAATGACTATTAAAACGACAGCATATTGGCTATTTAGAAAAAATGGACAAGCAATTTGATGTGTCCCATCCAAATTTACTTGTTAAATATGAAAATTGTCGACTCTCATCATGCAATTTCATGGGATCTTTAAAGTCACCATGAAATCAAAATTGACTTATATTTTTATGGAATATTGCAGTATTTATTATAAATGATTTATCCATGTACCTTTATTATTAAATTCATGTATCCTCATAATCTGTAATTAAAATAATTTTCCCTCCAACTTGCAACAACATCTCTTCTCTTCTCTGATGACGTGTTTACTGGCGGGACATCATGAGATCGCATCAATTCCCAATAGCCAAGATCAAGTCCTTCCCTACATTTATTAGGGAAGCCATTTCACTCGGAAATACGTCACAATAGAGAAGAAGAGATTATGGCAACTTCCATTTCATGCTGACTTTAAATTATAGGTGTATATCATTATAACGGCCATCATCAGCCACCTTGATATTAGAATCAGCTATTGAAAAACCTGTCAATGTATTACACAGCTATATGATCAAATAAAACACGTGAAATCCAAAAAGTTGTGTATTGTAAACAGGCACGTATCCGTTATGGAATCATGAATGCTGATTCACATTTTCTTTGTGTGAGAATTCTAGCATACCTTCTTCTTTTTGTTCTCTAGACCAGATCCTCTTCTTCAGATCACCACAGTTATAGATGAGCTGGGAAAAGCCTCCTCTAAGGTGATAATGACTGTCTTTTGTCTCTTCTTGAGCTTGCAGATGTCATTCACTGTCAGTTTTAGTCTGTCACATTATGTTGTGTGTGTGTGTAACTCAGGCCCAGCAGCTGCCGGCACCTATAACCAGTGCTGCAAAGCTCCAGACCAACAGACACCATCTCTACCTCCTGAAAGATGGGGAACAGAACGGGTATGCTCGCTATTTCTGTCCCTCCCCCACCCTATGCTTCAGATTTAATCTATTTAGATGTCAATACAACTGACCTCTCCTCTTCCTGTTTTTCCATGTGAACACATCCACTTCTTCTGTTAATAACAATCTTTGACTCCTTCTTCCTGTCTTCCCAGCAGAAGGGGTGTTGTAGTTGGATTTCTGAAGGTTGGCTACAAGAAGCTCTTTTTACTTGTAAGTGTTCCCTCATTATTGACTCGGTAATTAAATCTCGCCTAATGCGTGATGCCTGAGCGCACACTTTTTAAAGCAGATGCATCAACACACAGTATGTTGTTATTGCCTCTAGAACCAACGGGGGGCGCATTTGGAGACCGAGCCATTGTGTGTGCTGGATTTCTATGTGACAGAGACCATGCAGAGACATGGTTACGGGCTTGAACTCTTTGACTTCATGCTTAAAGTGAGTGTCTGTCAGCGGACTGATCTATTAAAAGACTAGTTTATTTATCATTTCCTCATGTCATTCCCAACCGTGTCCGTGTGACTTTCTGTCTTGCATGAAACACAATTTTTTTTTGAAGAATGTTCATGCTATCTTTTCCATACAACAAAAACATACAAGTGCAAAGTAACAAAAAGCACCATTAAAGTATCATGAAAGTGTTCCATATAATTCATTCACAATCCCCCGGTTTCACAGACAAGGCTTAAACCGAGTTCCTGACTAAAATGCATGTTTAAGCTGTTTTAACTGAAAGCAACTTGCTCTGACATACCTTAAAATAAGTCAGTGCTATTGTTTTGTCTCAAAATGCACACCAGTAATGTTTTTTTCTAAGGCAAGCTACTTAAATGTCCTAATTGAACTAAGGCCTAACCCTGGCCTTATCCTGGTCTAATCTAAGCCCTGTCTGTGAAACCAGGCCTATATTACAAATTTGAACAAACTGATATTTACCGGTAATTCTTTATTCCCAGATTATTTCCCCCTTCACCATAGCTGTCAAATATCTTTTGCACATGCGCATATTCAAACTTCCCCCATCAATTTTTTGACGTCAATGACGAAAACGTAATTGTTTTTTATGTGTTTTTCACACTTCCTGAATGCTACATGGCAAGGTTGAATAAGGAGAAGTACAAATAAGATTTAAGAGCTATGGTGAAGGCTAAGATTTTGGTTAAAAACTTAAATAACTTACATTTTGGTGTGTTTCTCAGAAAATTATTTTAATTCACAGAGAATACACATGGAATGTATCGCATTAGTCATATGGACAGCTTTTATGCTGTTTATTTTGGAAGCTTGTGTGAAAAACAGAGCAGCATGTACATTCTTCCTAATATCTACTTTTGTGATTACACCCCCCAAAAAGAAAGTCATACAGGTTACATTAGAGTGAGTAAATGATGACAGAATTTTCATCTTTGGGTGAACTGTGGCTTTTTTATTTTGTCCAGTAGAGAGGTCAGTGTTAAGACCCATTTGTATTTATTTGCGAAGAGCTCTGTTAGTTTTTGCGACTCAGATTTCATATTCTCTGATTCAACAGCACAAACGGGTGGAGCCGGAGCAGATGGCGTACGATAGACCTTCTCCTAAATTCCTGTCATTTTTAGAAAAGCACTTTGATCTCAAAAACAGCGTGCCACAGGTAAGAGTCACCTGAAATTGCTGAATGACACAAATCAGTCACAGCCAATCAGAGCATGTTTGATGTTATGTGGAGTGAGATTTTGAACCAGTAATATTCCGGAAGGAATTAATGTGTCACACTTGGTTTGGAGGACATGGTGTTACTCTTTTCAGAAATCCAGTTTATAACTGAACCTAATGATACTGTCAATGAAACCAACTTCATCAGACACTACATGTTATGTCATGGATATAAATCCTGATATAGATTATGTCCATGACGTGAGCGTGTTCATACAATAGTCTTCATACAATAGTCTTTTCTTCAAAGAATCTGAAGGTGTTTATATGGCCGTTGCTTGAATGTTATGATGAAATTCTTTGTCTAACATGTCTTCATTTCTTCTCCTGTCACACTTGCTCCTATCAGGTGAATAACTTTGTGGTTTTTGATGGCTTCTTCCAGAGTAGATCAGGTAATGTCTGACTAAATCACTGTTCTGTGCTTATGTGGGTTTGGAATGTTGTTCTGGATCTGTGCCAGTGTTCAGTGACTTGTTCTCTAGGGACAACAACCCCCCTTCTCTTCATTACAGTACGTGCAAGGCAGCATTGTATTGAAAGTCCTCCTCTTTTTACTTTTTTCTCCTCCCCATTTTTCTGCAAGTAATTTAGCCTGAACTGCTTAACATACAGAGCCCCATCAAACTTTGTTTTATGGATCATTTTAAGTTAGGTATTGATCTATTGCTTTTTTTTTTTGAGTATTAGGTTTTTTAGTATTAACGTTTTGCTGCTACACCTGACAGTGGTGAGTAAATACCGGCCATAGATATTTTTTGGATGATGAAAATGTATTTTGCATTATTTTAATAAGTGTTGTTAATGCTAACTAAAACTAATTTAAAAAAAAAAAGCTACATATGTAAATAGTAGATAAATCCCCAAAATTAAAACGCTGCCAACCATACTGAAAATCTAACTAAAATGAATAATAATAAAAGTAAACTAAAGCTAAATAGAATTATTAAAAAACTAATAAAAATGACTAAACCACAAAATTACTTACATTAAAATGAAAATTGGAGTTGAAAATTAGCAATAGCTATAAACTTTATATACAACACATCAGTGACATGCTTGGTTTTGACACTATGTTTGTTTGCATTGTCCCTGTCAAAAAAAAAAAAAAAAAAAAAAATGCAAACTGGAAATATATAAAAAATAAAACCATTTCAAAGTATAAATAAATACGTAATAGTATATAAATAAAACTGGAACACTTATTTTAATTAAAAACATTTTCAATATTAATATCATATGACAGTGGTATTTTTAAGTATTATTATTTATTCACTGCAAATTGGTAAAAAAAACACTAGTTGTAACTTCATATAAAACAAGTCTAGCTGCAAGTGTCAAGACTATTTATTTATAAAAAAAAATCTTCATTTTGATGGCTTTGGTTCTAGATAAACTTATGGTTATATTTTTTTAAGGTAAAAATCAATCAACAATTTATTTTCTTTTTCAGACAGTTGACAAGTCACTGAGTTCACTTACATAATTTTAGGGTTAGACGAATAGACCTTCTTACAAATAGACTTACATGGCATGTTCCTTATAATTAACGGCCTGGCCTGGTGGATGATTATAGATTGAATTTTTTTGCAAAACAAAAAGAGCCCAGAACCTCAAACTTTAACAGTATTCTTTTGCTGCCTTGCAAGCACTGCAATTTCCTTTTAAAAATGCAAATTTAATTTGATTGTGAACCTTTGAGAAAGCAATTTCATTTTCCAAATGACATTTTAGCAGATTCCACAATTCATTTAAGAAAAGTCTTTGTTGTGCTGGTCCATAATGCCCTCAGCTCTCTTTTGGTTATTTTATTGTTTTATATTTTTAGTGCATCTATATTTGAGGCAAGTCTATTTCCTGATTTAAACCACAGTCTGTTATTTTGTTACACAGTCTGTAAAATGGCATCTTCGTGTTTGGGCAACCGTTTTCAATATATTTATTTATGTGTATAAATGACTTGTCAAGCCCAGATCGTGCTGTTTATAGTTGGTAGTCGCCCTAGATCAGGTTTAACATGTGCAAGCAACTTAAAACATTCATTGTTCAAGCACTTTTGTCTCATGAAACTCTCCCAGGAACACCTTCCTCCCCTCTGACGGATCAGGGGATGTATGGATTTTTGTAAGGACATTGAATTTCTGCTGTTCCCCTCCCCTCCCCTACTGTCACCCTGCTTCCACCATACTTTTAATAGTCCTGTATTGTATCCCCATGGTTTAAGAAAGAGTCTACTCACTATACTCTTCCTTTGCACTCAACCGGATCCCCATAATGTCTGCCCACATTAATCAGTCCCAACAACTTATGAACTCACTCCCTTACAATATCCTTTGCTGTTCCCCTTTAAAATTCAATTAGATAAGTGCTATATGTTTTCCCTAAAGTGCAGCGTAATGATAATCGAAAATATGCATTATGGCCATGGATATTTATTTATATGAATATCTGTGAAGAGTGTAGAGTGTGCTGTTTAACTGCCTGCTGTACTCCAGACTTATTTTCAGTCATACCGTTTGTTTCTGTTGGCTCTTTCTGACCACCATGGTCTTTTTACAGCGGTCCAATTGAGAAAAGTTCCCCCAAAAAAGCCAGAGGGAGAGATCAAACCATATTCACTAATGGAAAGAGAAGGTGGGTTACTCATAGGCTCCATGTCGTATATTTAACCAGTTGGCACATCCAGACCCCTATTAGCTGACATTTACACCAACTAGCTGAATACTGACATCATCCAGATGCTGTAATAAATAGTTTCAGCTGGAAACAGGCCTCCTATTATTCATTAAATGTCTTGATTCGGTCTATAAGTTACTTTAGAGCCCTTAGAAAAGTTATTTTCAGCAGCGGAAAGGACTCTCACAATTACTTTAGAAAATGTATTTTGTTTATTTTGAGAATCTTAATCCATGTACAAATCCAGTCACTTGTAAATCAAATATACTAGAGTTGGGTATCAAAAATCTGTTCTTATTCAGAGCCGGTGCCATTCTTTAAAATACTGGAATGGAATGGCTTGTGGTTGCGTTAACGGTTCACATCGAAGCGAACGAAGTCGTTCTGTGCTACTTTTTAGGTGTATCACTATTGAATAGACAGCAACGATACTTATAGTCCAATACTAAACAAATAACTCTAATGGGCCGGTTCTTTTTAGAAACATATAGCACAACCAGTGTAGTCTAATTCCTGAATTAATGATTCTTATGAGGGATTGAGTGATGATTTTTAGTGAATCAAAAACATAGAACAATCATTTGTAGTAGGGTTGTGAAACGATTTATTGCGATTAATCACATCCAAAATAAAAGTTTGTTTACATAATATATGTGCATATATATATTTAAGAAACATTTATTTATATATAAAATATTTATATATTATATAAATGATATATAAATATATACAGTATATACTGTACATGCACATATTTCTTATGTACATGCATGTGTGTGTATTTATATATACAAAATAATTGTAGTACACCCTTATTAAGTACACACACTTATATTATGTAAACACAAACTTTTATTTTGGATGCGATTAATCGTTCCACAGCCCTACACTATAGTCCGATTGCTGAATGAATGACTCTTATGCACCAGTTATGAATCAGAAACATACAGTACATTCAGTGCAGTCTGGTTCCCGAACAAATGATTCTAATGAGTCAGTTCTTTTTAATGAATCAAAACACACAACGTTTACCAGTGTAGTCCGATTTCCGAATGAATGATTCTTATGAGCCAGTTATTTTTATTGAATTAAAAACAAAGCAGCGTGTAGTATACCTCAACCAAAGACACTAAAAGAATCATGAAACTTTTAAGGAATCAGAACCCGAATCGATAAATTCATTACGATTTCCCATCCCTATTGCTGACTTCACTTCCTTCGTTCCACAGTGGTACGGGAGGAGCAGAGGGCTCTTCCCTGGCCTTTTGTTCGCCCAGCAGGTCCCCCCCACTCTCCCCCTCTGCTCCCATCATCTCCGCAATCCCGTTCGCTCAGTGTGGGATCCTCCCCCAGCCGGGCCCCCCACCGTCCCGTCGTGGCCCTGGGGCTCCTGCAGGGTCAGACCCCTTCCTCTCAACTCAACGACAGCTGCAGGACAAAACGCACCAGGTACATCTCAACGACACCTCACGGCCAGTTACGACATACTCGAGTCTAAATCCAGCACTTTTCTTGCAAATATTTACATTGCATCCTCTTCGCTTTTTCCATCTGGTGCTTATTTTGGTGGATGAGAGCATTGGCTCTGTGGGAATGAAAGCGAAGAGACACTGAGGCCGTTAATGTTCACTATGAGCCACTTCCTGTGTTAGATGAGTGCATGGTCGACTTAGCGGCAAGAATGTGAATTCAGCTCATTAGTGCATCATTAGTGTATCACTGTGTATCGCATAAGGTCAGATACACTGTCTGTTTATTCTTCTAAAACGTAAGCGGCCTTGACCATTTTCTTTTGGAGAAGCGCTAAACATTTCTCTCCTCCTGTCTCTTTCTTCTCTTCTTCCTTTCATCTCTGATTATGACATGCTCATTTTAAACATTGCCTTCCCCGAATTATGACACGTGTTGTTGAACCCCTCACTTGTATCTCGTTCATTTGATGAGTTTGAACTTTTTTTTTCCTTTTAAACACATTTTATCTCTCTTTTCCTCGTTCTCTCATTCCATGCTAGCTCTTTAAATAGATCTAGGCTCAGCTTTCATTGACCCTCAGTTTTGAACGTCATTGTCTTAAACTTCTTAGCTAGTTTCAATTAAATGGAAAGTTCACCCACACATGAAAACTCCTGTCATTATTTACTTACACTTTTGTTAAGTTTTCTGTGGAACTCAAACGAGAATTTTGCAGAAACCTGTGAAGATTCTTTAGAATTCTTTTTGTGTTCCAAAGAATAAAAATAAAAAAACAGCCTACGGTTTGAAACGTAATGACAGAATTTTCAATGTTGGGTGAATTACTATTGGATGATTTTTGCTTTCTTCCTGGCTGTGAGTGTATGAATAATCAATACGATTTCCTGTAAAATGATTTGATAATACACATTTGTAATTAAACTGGAATCTCTTTTGATCTTTTCCACACTAAGGAGTGTTTTAGAATATAGATAAAGTTTTTAGAGATCAGTTTAGTGTTGTTAACCTCAGCTGTCAAACATCCTCTGTCCTGAGTAGCAAATAATAAAAGCAGTTGAAAAAATTATAGGTATTCTTATTTATTCAATTCAGTCAATGAATTATTGTAACACTGTAAAGGATTTGACATGTTATGTTTTAGATTCTACACTTAATGGTCTGAAGCTCCTCAGGACCTTGGTTTCACTTGTGTTTCAAACCAGACATTTGTCTTGGCCTCAGGGTGACGCTCTTGACCAGTGGTTGTTCATTATTAGTGTATTATATAAATATATATGTTACTGCTCAAAAGTTTGGGGTCAGTAAGACATGTAACGTTTTTTACAGTTACACAGGGTTTCTGCGGGGCATTAAAAAGCATTAAATGGATTTTGTGAAAATTAAGGCCTTAAATAACATTAAAAAGCATTATTTGAATATAGCCTTCATAATTAATCATTTTTATTTGCTGTTGCAAAATATGTACGTTAGTGTGATAAACACGCGGAACCAGTTTGGTAATTGCTTCCGGCCGGAGGAAACTTGCCGTGATGCGGAGATGACGCGGGCATTTTGTACAGCAGGAATAACAGGAATAAAACTAGACCAGAAAATTCCATTAGCGGTGGATATTTAACGCAATTAATCATTTTAACCAGACATCAATAGCTGTATTAGTATCAGTGAGACTGACGTTCATTCATAAAAAATATGCCATTAAACAAGTATTTGAAATATACTGTCTTTATGTTGTTTCTACATTAATTTGGAGATTAACTGTGAAATTATTACATTATAAAATATATAAACTAGATATAAACCTACAAAAATGTAATTGTTTTTAATTGTGATTAATCACAGAAAAAAATTGTGATTAATTGAGTTACATTTTTTTAACCGACTATGTATGTATGTGTATATATATATATATATATATATATATATATATATATATATATATATATATATATATATATATTATCTGTGGTTAGTGTCATGTATAGCATAATTTTTTTTATAAATGGCATTAAAAAAGGCATTAAAAAGCATTACAAGATACCTGCAGAAACCCTGGTTACAGTTGTGCTGCTTAATATTTTTGGTAAAACTGCAAAAAAAAAAATTCAGGATTCTTTGATGAATAGAAAGCTCAAAAGAACCTCATTTACTTGAAATAAAAATCTTTTGTAACATTATAAATTTGCTGTCCCTTTTGATCAATATAATGTCTCCTTGCTAAATAAATTTATTAAGTTCTTTAAAATAAAACTTACTGTCTCCAAACATTTAAATGGTAGTATATATATTTAAAGACACAATATTTTAAGACATTTTCAAGTAAAACATTTCATAAAAATAAAAGTTTGTTAGGTTTTAAAATTAAATCGTAAAACAATAGATATGTTAAACATAAAAAACAAAGAAGTATTTGCAAACTTTCTGGTAGTCAGACAATATACTGCAGTAAACGTGATGGACTAAACACTTCTAGAAACCTGTATGAACTAGATACATCCACTAAAATGCCCATGATACCAGTTAAAAGTTTACAAAATTGCTCAGAATAGTTGGTTATGAGAAACGTTTGTGCATCAAGTCTCACCCTGCTTTGATATATTATGACCTAATTCATACATAAACATTCATAAAGTTCTGGGTGATGCATTAGTGTTCAAATAATGTTTGTGGGCACTGTATGTTAGGGGCTGTTTACATGACACCGCTTTCAACTAAAAACAGAAAACATTTTATGCGTTTTGGCCATTCATTTACATGACAACGGCTTTTGGAGGCAGGTTTAAAACAGGTTTTAAAGTGTAAGGGTATGTTAACAGGACAACGATGCACAGACGACAACGTTCTCAAAACGATCCCCGTTTACACGGATCTGCAAAAAATGGCTGTATTATTCATGCCTGGCCAGTAGTGGTCAATGTCACTTTGTCATATAACACCCCGTGAACACGTAATACGCATGCGTGAACATCTAATATGGATGTGCGTGATGTCACCGTTTTCACAAATTCATGTTTTTGTTGTTAAACATACCCTAAGTTTTTGAAAACGATACCGCTATCGGCTATCGCTAAAGTAGCCTTGTTGACAAGTTTGGGTGAGTAACCAAATGCACAAGATAATACCTTCAATGCCCTGTAGATGGCAATAGTGATTTTTTTTAGCAGAAATAAACTGCTGCAGAAAAAGTTAGGTGCTATGCAAAATGTAATAAGAGAGTATTGTGAGATATAAACTTGCAATTCTGACTTTTTTTCTGCAATTGCAAGTTTATATCTCGCACATCTGACTTCTTTTCTCGAGATATTAAGTCCAATTCTGAGAAATAAACTTGCAATTCTGACTTTATAACTCGCAATTGCGACTTTATATCACGCAAAAAATTTTTTTTATTTATTTATTTTTTATTCTGTGCTGTGGTGAATAGTTATAGCTAGTATAGTTAAGCAATAAATATAGTCTCAAAATAGCCACTGCGTTTGACTGCAGCTCTGATGTCCAAAACAAAATCTGATGCTAATTTGCAACATTACAACATATTCGTTAGTCAGTTCTGAAATTAAAAAGCCGCCATCACATTACATTACACAATCATTGCCTGTGTCCTCTTTCACTGGAATTTGTTTTTATACAATACTTGAGTTTTGAATTTACGTTTGCATTTGTTTAATTAAGTTTTTATTTGTCCCCCTTTTTTCTGTCACATTTGTTTCTTTTTCTTTCTGTTTTTCTTTTATTTATTTATCTGTTTTCACTCTCCTACCCACCTTTCTGTATTCTCCTCGGACCTCTATCGCCGTTGTTTGTCCATTTCCTCATATCCTGTAGCCACAAGGGTCTGGTTGCCAGGAGCAACCTCTACAGTCGCCATATCAACAGCCGAGACCTCGGGCAATTATTGGTGGAACGGCAGAACGGCCTGAAGCTTCCAGGTAATGCACCATTTGAACCGCAATCAACCATTTACCATGGTGCAACGTGAAAAGTTACGATGGTCCGCAGGAAACCACATTAGTAAACCATTAGTAGCTGTCGTGTGTGTGCTTCCTCAGGGCTGAAAGCAGTGCTCTGTGAGAGAGTGTGTGACTCAGGGGCAAAGGCAGATGCAGTGGAACACAAACACACTTCAGAAAGGTCGGACTTTTCTCACATAACCTTTGTGAGAGTCAGTTTCTTCTGGTGCTGCTCTTTCTATTATTTACATGTGCAATTGGAAGCGAGTAACTTACTGAAGAAAACACCAGGGATTCATAACGAGGTAATGACTAGGCCTCCACAGAATCAACGCCTACAGAATTCCACAGAAAGCACTGCTGAATTTGTTTGTTGAGGTTTGCTCAGCCAAACATCACTGTAATTACAGTTCAAACTTGGGGTGAAGATTTGAACAAACCTTTAACCCTGAGTATTCAAATTTGCTGCATCGTCACTGTCATGCTTGTTTATGGAATGTTTTTTTTTTGCAGGACAAAAGTTCCTGAATTTCCACCGACCAACCCTTGCGAAAAAGAAGTGCTTAATTGTGCACTTGTAGTGTACTTCAAATCTTTAAAGTATATATATTTTTTAAATCTGTACTTGCAGATAATATAATATTAATTAAATAAACACCTCACGTTTCTACACACTTAAGTGCACTTTTAAAAAGTGCTCTTTGTAATAATGTCAAATTAAAAGTTTTAAAAGTATATTGTAAATCATAGTTTTGATCTTTTTTTGTGCTTTCAGAACACTCATTTTGATGTGTTGACTAACATACTAAAGCATATTTTAAGTAATTGATTATAATTTGAATGGTAGTGTGATATTCAATATTACATTTAAAGTGTAAATTGCAGGTAAAAATTTTTACGAAGATAATGCAATGTGCTTACTAAACATAAAGATAAGAACCGCCCACCATTGTTTTTTTTATGTTTTTTATACCAAAATGCTGAATATAATATGAAAAGTTGGTGCGTTTTACAGTGGTTTTAAGCACGCCCCTCCCTTCCACTAGGCTGGGCGTGACGTCTTAAAAGGTACTCCAAGCTTTTACTGTCTATGCTCCAGGGTTTAAACCCGACTATTTTTTAATACGTGGGTCGTTATAACTGACGTTCTCATACTTTCTATATTACTTTCTCCCGCCCGCAACATTTATGTTTTGTCCCGCTCCCACCCGCAAAAAGACTTTTTTTTCTGTACCTCCAAAAACTTTCAAGTTAGCCTACGTGTCGCCACCATACACATTCAGCATACATGCTCCTGATCACTGTTATAACATAAAAGCAAGCGGGCTACTGCGTGCATAGTCTGGCATGACTGCGCGCAAAGTGCGCTCCCTTAATAATTCCTAAAAAGCTGACATCAGTTCATCGCGATCTCACACATCTCTGTTATTATCAATGAATCTTTCATAATATATACACTATGTTTGTTATAATTAGAGGATTTGCCAGCATTCAGAATTCAGCACTGAACAAAAAGTCCGTTTTGAGCGGTGAGGGGAGTCCATCGTAAATGCTTCTGATTGGCCATTATTGCGTTCAAGAAATCAACACATGTCTGTGATTGGCTACATCGGTCAACGCTGCAGACATGTTAGAAATAGAAACTCTGCCTGTAAACCGTTTCTATTTTGTTTTAGTTGTTCTTATTGCTTTTCTGCAACAGATGAATAAAAATGTATTCGTTTTTATGTTTTACTCATAGATATTTCTAGTTTGCGGGAGTCCCGCGAATCGTTTTATTCTCCCTCAACCGGCACACACAGAGTGCATTACCGCCCGCGCTCCCTTTTATGACGTCATCACCCAGTTACTGTAGAAAACATGCTACCTTTGAAGAAACCCCAATAAATGTTATTTTAACGAATTTTAAGACAGAAATTTTTATATACACATTGAGCACTTTAATTTACACATTAATTGGTTGTGGTGGTTAACCTGCAATTTACACTTTAAAGTTATTTTAAATGTACTAAATAACATTAATTACAAATCGAATTACAAATATACATGACATACAAGTTTCAATAGAAATAACATTAAAGTATACTTTAGTTAACTGTATACATGCTTGTAAATACATTTGGCAGGACACTTTAACCATTTTTCAAAGACATTATGAAATTACATATCAAAATGTAAGTGGGTCAAAAAGCATCCTCAAGTGCATTTAATATAAACTTTTAACTATTATACATTTTAATGTATGTTAACTGTCGAAAAACAATACGTTTAGTTTGCAGAAGTATTATTTCCATAATGTACTTCTTTTTCACAAGGGAAAAACATTGTTTTAATAGTTTCTCAAGCTATTTATAGCTATATATATATATATATATATATTTCTATTTTTGTATAGATTTTGTTTGCATAAAATGTCAGGTTTTTTGCTTTGTTGTACCTTGGTGGATGAACAAAAAAAGGGTGAAAAGTTCTATTGACTTGCATTGAAGAAGGGATCTAGATACTAGAATACAAACTAGGATTGTGGCAGTAAGTTTTGCCAAGGCTAACGACTCACATTTTCTTCAGAAAATGTAAAAATCTGGTGTGTTCAATTTTTATTTGTCAAATATGATAATGCTATCACCTGCCACGAAGAGTCTAGTACTCTCAGATCAGTTTACCATGTGTATTGTATCTGAAGTGTGGCATTTTACATATTTTCATTTACATTCAATGTGGGGGGTGGGTGTTCTGTGTGGGCCTAGTTATGACTCAGTGACAGGAAATGGAGTATGTGTGGAAATGGAAAAGTTTCTTTTCTGATACATTCATTTCTGATACAAATTTCACTTGCTTCTCCTCAGCCCTGACCTTGTATTGCATTGTCCTGAAATCATCTTCTCTGCTGCTGAGTTTCCTTTTTCTTGCTCTACAGCTTTTATTGATTTTCATCTTCTTTTCCAGACCGCATCTTCAAGGCCAGGTTTTCGCCCTTCCTACACTTGCTGCCCCCAAGAAAGATCATCTTCAGGAGCAGACCTCCATAGCACCCTTAGAACGCAATGGAGAGCGATGCAGCGACCTGAAGGCCAAAGTGTCACATAACAGAGAAGAGGACCGGAGGAAAGGTGGAGCGGCCGAGATCTCGAGTGGCGGATGGTCTTGGACGGTTGGGGAGAGCCGCTGTACGGCGCAATGGGTCCGGCAGAAACAAGAGTATCGCAGCACGCGACCCTGGTGACAGGACGCCATTGAAAGAGGAATATTTGAAGAAATGAACCGTTGGACATTGCAAAGGAAGCTAGGATGGAAGTAAGAATAATAAAGGGGGGAAATGATTTAAAGAATTTTTAATAAACCACAAAAGTGAAAAAGACCTTTAATGAAAATAACATCAGCAGCTATTTGTAACTCCATTAGATTTGTGCTTGTAAGACTTTTTCTTAAAAATCAGTCCTATTTATAAAAACATCAGCAATTCATTTTATGGCTTGTGCTTTTTTTAATCACAATTTTATAATCTGATAATTTTATAATGTTTTTCAAAAGCAGGTCTATGCAAAAGTGCAGTTTTGTTTCCATGGAAAATTAAATGAAATTGTTGAAATTTGTTCTGTTAGATTCATTTAGATCGCTCCTCTCAAACAACTAATACTTTTACAGTAAAGCTGATGCTCATTCTTATACAATGATCACATAATTACCTCTATCCCTTGTGGAAATCATTTATATTACACTTATAAACAAACAGATTAAACCCTTGGAAACATTTGACCAAGGACATTAGTGCATGCTGTCTAAAGTTATGATACATGTACCGTCTAAATGTCTCAGTCACAGTAGACATCATCAACAAACACTAAAAAGGGGGTATAAGTACATACAGAACCTCACATCTTTTCAATCTGAAGTGGACAACCCAGACACATATGCCGGACATTTTTCAATATGCGTGTTCATCTGGAATATCCATTTCAAAAAAGTTCCCTCTTGGATGTTCAAGTGGACATTTTCATGAGGTGATTTTGAATGTGTATTTGGTGTTGGTGCACAGTAATAAGAATATAGTGCTTCTCGGATAATTTCCTCTTCACCTGATGCCTTACAAATGTATGTGTGCTTACTGGAATGGTTTAAGTGCTGGCGTCCATTCCTGCTTACGCAGGTTCCACATTTTCCAACTTCAGTAAGTGTGACATTCACAAAATTCTACAGTTAACAACAAAACAAAAAAAGTTCACACTACTTGATTTAAGAAAAAGAAAAAAATCATTGGGCCAAACTTAGTGGCAGACCTTTGATTTCAATTTCTAGTCACATTTTCTTCAAATGAATGAATGTGTACAGCTTAAATGTGCAATCTGTAACCATAAAGTAAAAAACAACAACACCACTATGCTAATGCACATGGTTTAAAATATCATTTTAAACACAAACCAATAAAGAACTGGCCATCTGTAAAACCTACAAAGAAGTTTTGTGTACAAAGAAGTACTTGTGTTCATATTGCTTATTTAGATAACTGCCTATTTTAATTTTGTCAGTGGGATCTTGACGTTTTGTTTAAATATCCATTTAACTATATTAAAAAACTATTTACGGGAAAGTAAATTTAGAAATAAGTCTGAGTCAGAAAATGGTTTGACCCTGATGTCACCCATAATGAGTGCTTGGTCCTTTCACTGAACAGCCCATTCTTGCCAGACGTGTTTTCCCTTTGTTGCCTGTCAACACGCCATTTAGTCGTCCTTATCAGCCTGTAATGTTTTCAGTCTAGCAACTGAGAAAAGCCCAAATCAAACTTGTAAAATGTTAGCACCTCAATCCCCATTGCAATACCTTTTAGACGCATTCAAGTTCAAGACAATCGCATCATCCCTGCTCATCGGCTTCCCTTTTTATTTACCTAAAACGGTCTTCAGTAGTTACGATTATTTTTTTCATCAAAAGTTCTCACAGAGACATGTTTGCTGTCTCCTGTCTTACAGTCCAGGCATGATGTCTGTACAGTTTTAGAACGACCTCGCTCTTATTGGACACTCCGCCCAATCTTGTTCTAGTACGAGTCCCTCAGTAGTGTGAAGTAGATCTCCGACTGGAGGAAACGAGGGTAACAGTCCATTTCCAGGAGGCAGTAGATGCGCTTTTGGGCATGTGAGAGGGAATTGTGAGAGGGGGCTTTGAGGAGCTCTATGGTCAGTTCTCTTGTCTTACTGTCCAGATTCACCTAAAAGTGGTGGAAAGAAATGCGTAATTCACAAGTTTTCACACAAAACAGCTAATAAAGAGTAGTTCAATCAAAAATGACATTCTTAAGGAAGTCCAAAGTGTTCTATGCTTCTATAATAGGCACTAGGACTGTCAAGCTCCAAAAATGACAAAAACTTCTTTTTTTTTGTTGTTACTTTTTTAAAATGATGCTAAAAGTCTTCTGAAGTCATATAACAGATTTGTGAGAGGAAAGGACAGAACTTTACTTTGGTTTTATAAAGGCACTGGGACTGTCAAGCTCCAAAAATGAAACAAAAATTCTTAATCACGATTTTCAGAATGACTTTAGAAGACTTGGAATATAATACGTGTCAGTGACTATTTCTATGGTACTTTTATTTTCTTGTCATTTTGTAGTTCAGAAGCCCCAGTCCCTATTTATTTACATTGTATGAGAAAGAGCAGCTTGGGCATGTTGGATGAAATATTTGTTTACACAGTAAACAGACAGATAAATTTAGATAAATCTACCTCTCTGGGAGCACCTGGCTGGATGTAAGTCTCAGAAATCATTTTTGCCCTCCTATGCAGGCTGAATTTGTTGGACGACTGCCTGTACTGCTCACAGGCCGAGTAGAACTGCAGGTTTTCATCACTGAATTCGGATCGCAGGAATGCTTCAAAGACTGTGACTCCCACTAAAGGATACGTGAGAAGAGAGAAAGAACCTTTACGAACATTGGGAAAAAACGTCTATTTCTGTTTACAAATGGGAGGGGTAGAGGCTCAGATGACAAGTTCACATGCATGTTCTGCCATACACCCACACACGTCACATACAGTAGCACTTGCAAAAAAATCAGAGAAGGAAAAGCTTTGGACGTTAAAATCTTGAGGGTTTATCTCACACCACATACCTTCCTACCCTCTGATTTTCTCAAAACCCGTGAACTGCAGGGTTGCGACACTCTGAAGTGAGAAAATAGAAGTAGGACGGGGACAGGGCTCTGGAGTTACAACATACTGGTGTTCTAACATTTCAACCAGTCCAGACACCAAAACAAACCCGCTACACAATTCAAAAAAAGCTTTCAATGCTAAATGAACTGTATAATCTACACTAGCATGACCCTATGTGCTGGCATAAATAAATATGGCACAAATATTGAACTTAAAAATGCAAAGAAGCTTTAAAAAGTCAAATTTTAGTAACTGATAAACTTATTTTCAATAAATTACACTATAATACTATAATTTGTGTTATGATTGCAAAAATGGAATGCGATTTTTGTTTACTTCTCTTTCCATCATGTTGTAGAAAGAGTCAAAAGGATGTTACTTATTTGGTGTCACAATTTTAAGAAATGTTGCTTTGTTGTAATGTGGGAAATACATGCGATAGCAAGGTCGATTTATTTTAACAGATTAAAATATAATAGTTTTGGTAATTAAAATAAGTTTATAATAATCTTACACAATAAATTGAATATGAATTTAACAGATTGTCAAAATTATGATACTGTATAATTTAAAATGTTAATAACAGTTACATATCTAAAAGTTCCCTCTCTGAAGAATATGGGATTTATACTATCTATAAGCATACCTAATAAGTATGTGTGGAGAGAATTAGTTTCCAAATTAGCTATAGCAGTGACAGAATGGATTGAATTCCTAACTCCATGTTATCCTTTGTCCAAACAGTCTTAACTGTAACTGCAAAATGTGCTACGTGTGTATCAGTGTATTATTAGATTTTATGAGGTCTGTCACACTAATCAATTGCTTCCGGTTATGGGTGAGAACAGAAATAACAAATGGCAACAAAGCAGGTAATACCAACAAAGATGGTGTTAATCATTAAGTCCATTTAATTATAATAATAAAACAAATCACTGGAAACATGACGTCTGGTGTCAAGACAAGCGTAACAGTGTCCATTATTAGTTAGTATACCACTGTTTATACATCACAAGGTGCACTAATAATGTAAGCTTAAAGGTTTTTTTTTTTCATGTCATTCTCACTTTTGAGGTCAGCTAGAATTATTAGTGGTGCTTTCTATGGCAAATATTATTATTGCCCCAAACCATATACAGTAAGTACTAAACATCAACACTTGACATGCTAAGAACATGAATCATACTTTGAATTATGTGGTTTGCTAAGAAGAGGAGTGGTACTACTTTCCCAAGAGATCTGACTAACAATGTTTACCTACACTTTCACTCAAGGGACTTGAATCATATCAAGAGTCCTCGTGGCTGGTCTAAATTTTTTTTACAATCATCTATAAAATCCTGCCATCATGCCTTTAATAGGCAAGCACCACTCACATCTCCTTCTGAAAATGTAAAGATCTAGGTGGTTTAATCAGTGAAATTGTCCGTCAGGCCTCTCAACCTCTAGGGGAAAAGCCCATTATTCCGTTATCTCGTTTCTTCATATCGTTTTATGTCGTTAGGGAATTCTCCGGAAACCCGTGCCTGAAGCTACACAGGAAAGTGGTTCCTCAATGTTAAGAGGAAGCAGTTTCAAGGGTGTTTCAATGATGTAATAGACGGGTTTCACTACAGAACCACATAATTGTACTGAGCACACACCAGGCTAACCTACATTACCGCTAAAAAGTTGCATTTTTTTAAACCAAAAATACAGTATAAAGGCCCCAATATACTCACAGAAAAGTACTTTTTATAGTACTTTTAGTACTAGGTTACCAGCAATATACTGTTAGCGAACATCCAATGCCGGCCACACTGCTGAGAGCGACATTTAGATGAATATGTAAATATGTGCTGCGCACTTTCCTCTCAATAACAAAATGAACACAACAAAATTGAGAAAACAGCAAGCATTTTTAATAAAGCATAAGAAAAGCATCTGATCATCGTAGCAACGTGTTTGCACGAGTTCTGCAATTCGGTACTCTAGTAAAGTCACGTCACGTTTATTTATATAGCACTTTAAACAATAGATTGCTTAAATTCAAGCAGCTTTACCGTATTAAACATGAAAAACAGTGTGAATGTCTCGTTTTATCAAAAGTACAACTTAATTTTCTACTATAAAGCAGCTCTCCAGTGTGTTTATGTTTTTACTTTTTACTTATGTTTTTAGTCTCCGCGCACACCTACCTATTTCATCATCGCCACGGACCAATGGGAGTACAAAGGTGTTTACCAGCCGTAGCAAACTTTTTCGGGAAGTTCGCTATGGCAAGCTGTTTCAAACTTCCCGAAGTTCAGTTTGGCCTGATTTTGTTTGAAATGACGTCACATCAGTTCGTTCTTAGATTTCGCTTGAAGTATATCAGGGCCGTTAGGGCCGGCTCACACAGAACATGTTTTTTGCTGTTAAAAATGCAAGACGCAGGTCAGTGGAACAAAAAAAACCGCAAGGTCTAAAGATGCATTTATAAAAAGTTGAGCTTAACTTGAGCGCCACATTTTTATAAAGCCATGTCATTCGCGAGACGTTGAAAAAGACGCAAGATGCGAGCGGTCAAACACGTCCGTTTTACATAGAAAAATAATGGAAAAATAGTGCAGTGGAATGGAAAAACACATTCTGTGTGAACGGCCTCTAATACGAGATGGCAAAGCGGCTTAGTCTTTAGTGTAATTATTCCATATGCTAATTTGGTGTTCAATAAACATTTCTTATTATTATCAATGTTGAAAACAGTTTTGCTGCTTAATATTTTTGTGGAAACCATGATTTTGGTTTTTCAGGATTCTTTGATGAATGGAAGGTTCAAAAGAACAGCATTTATTTGAAACAGAAATCTTTTGTAACACTGTAAATGTCACTTTTGATCAATTTAATGCATCCTTGCTGAATTAAAGTTGTAATTTCTTTAAAAAAAATCTTACTAACCTAAACCTTTTAAACAGTAGTGTATATCAAAAAACTACACGATATCAGACAGTATATGGTCCGCTCTGCACTTATTTTCATTAAAACAACGTTTCAAGCATGGGCGGGCAGTTGGCCACAAATATCTCGATTTCCAAGAACAGCGTTCCAGGTCAAAGTTAGTAGAACAACAGCTTTCCTTTTCCATGTGACGCTATGATGTCTCGCAAGCGTCCTTTGACCAGCTTCCTAGCGAGTCAAGCAGTTTAAAAACAAATGACTGAGCGCTCACCTCTACTGTCCAGCAAAGCATCAAGGGACAGGGCCCAATTTTCCATCTCCTTCCTGCTGAGTTGAGCTTTGGCGTGGCCCACCTGACTCCACTGCCTGAGGAAAGGCTTTCGGGAGCGCCTCTCTTTAGCACTGAGAAAAACAAGAGTGTTAGAGGATATGTGACAAAGATATCCAGCAACAACAACAAAAAAGTCTGGAATCAGTAACAGTGGGCTGGGGAGGGGTTGTTTTGCAAGTGGCGGACAGAGAATAGGCCAAAAGCAAAACAGACAGTGGAAAAAATCCACATGAGATTGAGGAAATATGTGTCTTGATTGTTTGCTGAGATAACTGATTTTACCTGGTTATGTTCTCTCTGTGCTCTGCACTTGTCAAATTTGAATGCGAGGAGTGCGGTGAACCCTTGTGTGAAAAAATAAGAGGTCACTGATATGCATAACACTGCCATGAAGATAACTGACTTGATTTGAGACTTTAAGGAAGTGTAATTTACACAAATGTTCCATGACTTAAACAAATGTCATGAAGGAGTTACGTCACGGAAAACATTCTGGCAATGCCAGATTTATCAGATGGCAAAATATTCTAGAGAATGAAAGTTTTTTGTTCCACAGTGTCTGTTGTGATTTCTTGCAACAATATTGTAGAAGAATTTTTTTTTTTTTTTTTGCATCAATAGTGTGATTGCCTTATAGAGCACTAGAACATTCAGTTCCCCTTTCAGAGTTTGCTTCTTCTTTCACTGTTTGGACAAAGCAACATTATATCTCAAGGGGTAGCACTGATTCAAACTGAACTTAACTAGTTGTGTAATACAAAAGCACTCCTGACTTTTCACTTCATCACACTTGGCTTGTAAATTCTGAATAAACAGTATTGTATGCTAGAGCTGAAGCCCTGATGCTCATAATGTATGCGAAATACATGTATGTAATGTACAAAACATAAACAAGGCTCAACAATAAAGATGGCTCGATGGCCCAGGCCCAGTAGGAGAAGTTTCAGGCTAGTTGAAGGAACTGTCTATTGCCATTTCGGCCCAGTGCTTACATTGTTATATGATCTTATATTTATTTGTTTTCTGTGATGTTTTAAGTACCCCCTCCAAATTATATTAATATTAATTGTCTGGATGACATATAAAGGTTTTGCGAACGTCTTGGCATCAGTTAGAAAGGGTGAACAATGATAAATGAATCAATAAGGTTGACTGGATCAGAACAAAAATCTTTAGAGTAAAGACCTGATAAAATCAATTTGTCACTATGTCAGCTGAAACAAGTAATCACATTAAAGATTTTTATGTGAACAACTTCATTAACTAAACGAAATAAAGTCTCCAAACTTACCTGTCCAAACAAACTTTTAAGGTGTATTTTAGCAGCAGCCAGTTTGGCCCGAGCTTGCTGTCGGTGATAATGAGGTTTTGGGGAGTTGGACATATGGTTAGATTTCAGAGAGGATGACGAAGAGTGCATGGCATCACACTTTCCCATACTCTCAAAGCTGCCTTTGGCATTAGCAGCGAGCTGGCTGTCACTGTAAGCTTTAAAGCTCTCATTCAGGTTCGTAACTCTCAGTAAACCAGATTCCTTCTCCAAGCCGACCAGATTTTCCACACTAATGCTGTGATCTCTGTTAAGCCCCCCCTTTCCATCACCTCCCGACATTGCATCTGGGGTGCAAGGATAGGATGCTGAGGCCCCAACCGTATCATCATCCGAGGTGGCCGGGGTCCTATCTCGATCCACCTGTCCCCAGGGCAAGTAGTCCAGCTCCAACAATGCACCCACTGAACTGTACTTGCGCATCATTATGCTGGATTTTAAAAGAAAGAATGAAAGGAAGATAGAGAGAATGCCAGAGGCCTAAAGATGGAACAACAGAATGGACAAAAAGAATTAATTAAAAATGTATGAATAAATCTATTCAGCTTATCGCTATCTATCCGTCTCTATTCTATGAGAACTCTACAAACATCTACTCAGCTCATAGATAGAATGACAGAATGATAGATAGATAGATAGATAGATAGATAGATAGATAGATAGATAGATAGATAGATAGATAGATAGATAGATAGATAATAATAAAAATGTAATACATTATGGTACTAGGTAATACTGTGCATTACTACAATAATACAGCATACAGCAATGTGAACTATAATTACTTTCTTGTAAAAAAGGAATTACAAGTATAATATAGCGCAAAATCTAGTATTAGTGTTTGTTGTTAAAAACTACTTAGTCTGTAAATATAACCAAATATATATATATATAAAATATATATAAAATATAACCAAAGTTCTGCTTTACATTTATAACAAACGTGTCAACTCACGACAAGTAGCCTAAGACTCGAGACGCCTCATGACAAGCGTTACATTAAAGACGCAACACGACAAATCAGAAAGCTCCCATTACAATCAACAAATGTCTTTACACTGCAAGCGCGCGAAATCGTTTATTTTAGTAGGAGAGCTTCAGTTTGCCGCGTCGCGTCTTTAGCGATGCGTGTAAACAAACAAAACGTTTGACCTGAGCACTTGACGGTTCACATATGTCATATTAACATACCTTACGATAAATCTGTTTCTGGTCTTTTCATGACAGTCCATGTACAGGTCTTTTTATATCCAAAAGATTCGGAGTCGGTTCGTCTTTCAACTGGAGTCCGTCAGCTTTCTGTGTAACGTTAGCCGTCAAAATCTCGTCTTGCATGTCCTTCTTTTCATTTTACTCCTGAATGGCAAAAGCAACGCCTATTTTCTTTTTTGTCACACCCATAGTTCAGTCTGGACTTGCCCTCCCTACATACTTGAAAACTAAGTCGAGTAGCATAATGACACACAAGCGTGTATGCATTGCTTATGGGTTCATCATGGTAACTAGTTGACGTCAAAATACCACAGTAGCTACCGATATTACTACAACAACGCGCTGTTCGTGGTAAGCCGCCACATGTCATAGATATTTAACACATGTGGGTTCTGTAAGCTTCTAGTACTGTTTGAAGAAGATAAAATATTAATATCTTATTGTTTTACATTAGTAACTACTAGGGCGTAAACCAGGGTTACCATGGTAGCCTACATTTTTACAAAGGCACACACATACAGCTGAGCTGATTGACAGTAAATTGCGCCTCTCCCTGAACAATAAAAAGTACATTTTTGTATTTGTAAATTGTATTACTATACTATCATATTTTATTATATTAATTACTGAAGGCTCTGTGTTCGTGACAAATTCTGATTATAACAGGTGTTTAAAAATGCCACGATTGTACTCGAAGAGCGCTCTCTACAGGTCATGCATATTATTTCCTGATAGGACAACAATAATGAAAACTTTCCCCGTTTTGATGGGATGAGCTATTATTATTAGTTTTATAATTTTATTTTAAACAATATGATATAATTAGAATAAATAGATTAATACAATCATTCGTTTTAAGAGAGCGGAGAGACTTTTTATGAGGGACTTTTATTTTGGTACGTTGAATTTTCTGCATGTCTACGAATCTACGTTTGTCCAGTAGGTGGAGGGGTTACACAACACAGGAATTTTTAGATAATTGGCTTTATGCACAGCTTCACTACTTCCTGAACTTCAGCCAGCCCTTTGTTTCCTGTCTGTCATTATTGGACAAACTGATTAATTCAGGTGTGCCTGGCCTCAGTAACAATAATCAGGCACACCTGGACTAATCAGTTTGTCCAATAATGACAGACAGGAAACAAAGGGCTGGCTGAAGTTCAGGAAGTGAAGCTGTGCATAAAGTCTATTGTGAAAGAAAAATACTTCAAATCTAATTCCATTCTTATAAAATATTATGTTCACATTTTGTTGCATATACACTCTAAAATGCTTGGATGCTGAATTTACTATCTTAAAATAGTTAATTAATTTAGGCTTTTTATGTAAAGATAAAAAACTGAGCTTCTATTTGCAATTAAAGCAACTGTTTAAAAAAAAAAATTAAAGCAAGCAGTCTACTTCAGAATGACTGTGATGTGCAAATGAAAATCATACACATTCATATTACATTACAGTAATTACAATAACTATACACTAATCACTGGGGCTGGTCCTTTCTGCACGGAACCTGTGCCTTTCTGTCTTTAGTAAGGGTGCTGTGTCTTTGCATGTCTCTCCACATGGGGTCCCTCAGTTCCAGGACCAGATAAAACAACAGTTATAGTTCCCAGTGGCTCTGGAGATCTTTTCTGTGCAGCAAGCCTTCTCCCATCAATTCATTGTGTTTCAGCCTCGAAATAAATCACAAAGTCTCTGAAGAACTTTGCATCATGGTTCAAGAAGAAATGTTGCATGACTGAGCTGTCATTGAGCTAGACATATGATCTTGAATACTAATGCTAATGTCACCATACTCTACTGTACTACTCTAAAAAAATATAATAATCATAGTTTGTAATCATGTCTGGTTATACAGATATTTCATCTTGGTATTGCAACAAGTTAATGAGGCTGGCGTTGTGTACCTTGTAAAACCATAATACATAGTTTATTTACTTTACATTTTTTTTACTTAGCCTACTATAATATAAAAGATATAGGCCTATTTATGTATTTATATTTTTACATTATATATTTTTATTTAATCACTTTTTATTTTAATCAAATATATTATATTAATTATTATTATTATTTACACTGTTTTTCTCTGAACTTTTCTACGGACCCCTAGTGCTCCCTTGTGGACTCCTAGAAGGGTCAGTTTGAAAAACTCTGGGTTATGTTACTTGTTTGTTTTCGACTATTTTATGGTATACTTTTAATGGAGAAATGTTGAGATTTCGACATTTTTACTGTATGGGAGAACTGCTGATTAAAGTCAACCTGTAGTAGTCATCCTTGATCACCAAAATGACATTAAAAAGTTTTTTTCCTTGAAAAAATGTCTTTATGCCTTAAAATAGCTTGAATGTAACTCCCTTGCTTCATTTAATAGACGTGGTTCTATGGATATGCAAATTAGTACGCCTCCACTCACTCACCCACTCTTTGGCGATCACACGTTGACCTGGGGTGCGTTTCCCGAAAGCATCGTTAGCCAACTATGGTCGCAAGTTCCGTCGTTACCGGTCGTTGGGATTTGCGACCAACTTGCGACCATGGTTGGCTAACGATGCTTTCGGGAAACGCACCCCTGATTGGTTACAAGGTAGTCTGTGACGTCAGGAACATTTCAAACCGCCTTTTTGAGAGTTAGTTTTTTAAGAAGAAAATGCTCAGCAATGGTGTTGACTTGTGACTATGCAAATCGAAATGGTTTGTTTCAAAGCATATAAAAAACACCACACAGACATATAAACAACATTAAAAACTTGATTGTACCACAGAGGGTTTTTAAATGTTTATAAATAGGCCTTCACAGCAGCACCATCTTTGATGGTTCAAGGTTTTATTCAAGGTTTTGGATTATTCTTCTGACGAAACACTGCAAAAATATCTTTCCAAGACATAAAACTCCAGACAACATGAGCTGTGGAAAATGATAAGTGATCTAGAGGATCTATATAGCTTTTTCCAGCAGATGCTGCCATTTAAAACACGGTAAGTCTGACACAGCCTCGCTTTCATATCTGTCATGGCGATGCTCGGAATAAGGTCTACCCAGCCAGCACATGACCGACCTTCAACATTGAAATATGGTTGAAATAATATGGTTGTTGATATAATGTTTAATGCTAAATGGTTGAAAAAGGTTAACAAAAACACTTCTAAATCAACGCTTAAATTTTTACAAGATCTGTACTTTGAAACAACGTAATGTTTTCAACAACATACAACATATCTGCCTTTTAAAGTATTATTATGATCGTTATTAGCATATAATGCTATTCTGATCATAATACAGCCTTTAATGGATATGTTAAAATATAATTATTATCATTATTGACAACTCTCCAATAATTTCAAACTCAAGAGAGCAGTGCAGCAGAAACGTTTTACTTTACGTGATTTTGTGTGGATTTTCAATACTGTGTGCTTGCCTAACAGTTTACCATGCATTATTACATTTTTATTCATAGACTGTTATTAAAACACAATTTGACCAATTCATTAAATAATACAGACTGCAAATAAAACTAAATACACTGTAATTTCGCTACGTTACCACGCTGAAAGTATTGTTATTGGTTGTTTCACAGTTGTACTTTGATCATGATTGGTTAATCTTTCTGTCTTCCAGGAAACTGGCCAATGACGATATGCGCGCCTATTTTATGTTTGAAAATACGTCCGTTACTGTTTGAGTCGGTGTGTGAGCAGCTGCTGCTTGCATTAATTATTACCCGCCGGAAACGGATTATTTGACATTATTATCTGCTTGTTAAACTTTTATTTTGAGCAAATTTGAGTTGTGATATGTCAATGAAGAACAAAAGCTGGAATGTGAACAGAGGAAGGGGTCGTAACGTTACGTGGTCTGTAAAAATACTGGCTATATCAGGTAAGAAAATATTTTCAGTCTAACAGTCTAACTTGACGTTAAAGCCCTGACATGAAATTGTCACTTTCTGAGATTTATTAACATCCCTAGCCTGTATATGGTCCACCAGTGGCTAGAAATTTCAATCGGTGTAAACCGAGCTTTGGCTATCTTTCTCTGCCTTTGAGAAAATTAAAGCTCAGACGGGCTGAATCTCCTCAGTATGATGTCAAACGGAGGAAAGGTAAGTTAACCTCCCCTTTCTCTGCGTTGCCCGCCCAGAGAATTTCAATAGCGTCTGGCTGCAGACAAGTGACGTCACTTGCACTCTCGGACTTGCACGCTCAGACACGAGCGCTTCCTCTGCAAGTGACGTCACTTGCACTCTCAGACACGAGCGCTTCCGCTGCAAGTGACGTCACTTGCAATCGACGCCTGCTCTCTACGGAACGCGATAAAAGAAACGCGTGAAATTTGACCGCGTCAACACGCAGTGTTTGTCCGCGGCATTTTTTTACGTGTTTCTTTTGAACGCGTAGACACGCTCATTTTGGTCGTGTTAAGGTGTCATTTGTCATTTTGTTGACAGTTTTTTTCAAATTGCTAAAACACTACAAGTGGAATTTGAGGCTCACTCAGTGAAACCATTCACTCATGTACCCAATCTTTAGACCAAGCCTGCAAAAATACAAGGACATTATTTGCTTGCACTCAGTTTGGATTTGAAAAACAAACTATTTGCAAAACTCTAAACACATTTCTCTACATTACACACATCATTCAAAACTAACAGCTCTTGTGTTTCATCTGGGAAACACTGGAATTTAAATGCCACATTACCAAATTACCACATTTACTGATGACCTACAGCCAATAACCATGTGGGAAAACACTTGTACATAAATTGATCACTTAGAAATCAAAACTCAGTTATGAGAAAGAAAGAAATTATTTTTTTTACTATTATTATATATTTAATTATTTTTAATTATTTTCAAGACATTTTGGACAATTTCATGCTCCCAACTTTGGGGGAACAGTTTGTAGATGAAAAACATCAAGATGATGCATTTTTTTTTTCTTTTTATTGTAAATGTCAATTTACAGTACACAGTTAATGTGCAAAACAGACAAATACAAGGTACAAATAGACAATATACAACATATATAAAAACACATTAGCACATTATTCACTTTGCTCTAGTGTAGTTCGACAGTTTACCTTTAATTTCATGACATCGATTACATGTTCAAGAAACATTTGCATGTCATTCATTACAGTAAAGATGAAGCAAAAGGGTTCCAGAGCATCGATTCTGTCCTGTGGAAACTCAGCCTTCTCTAATCTCTCAATGGCTTCCGCAACGTCTTGTTCCTCCATACACACTACTTTGGGCAAATGAACAGAACCATGCAGTGCACTAGATTGATCCAAACACCACTTGCTGGCTATCTTCAAATCTGGCATCAATCGACTCTGTGAAATAACACGGAGAACAAGGGATTGCAAGTGACGCCACAGCCGGTAGCGGAGAGCAGGTGTCGACTGCAAGTGACGTCACTTGCAGCGGAAGCGCTCGTGTCTGAGCGTGCAAGTCTGAGCGTGCAAGTCTGCAGCCAGACCCTTCTCGAGAATTTGGCTCGCCCATGAAAAAATGAGCTAGGAAGTACGAACGCGATTTGAGTTTTTCCTCGAGAGATATCATGGCTTGCAAATGAGCGAAGCATGGCAGTAAGGCAGTTGATCAGTGTTCGGATGTACAAATGAACACAAAAGTATTTTTAGTTCCTTCATCTGAGCCTCTGAAGAAACAATGGGTTAATTTTATTTTCGCTGGAAATGTGCCGACACAACTTCCCAAAGTTTTGTATGGTCGAAACATTTCACCGACGACTGTTTCCTCAACTTGGGCCAATACAGAGCTGGCCTCGATGAACGACTGAAAATAAATCGATCGAGCTACCAAGCAACAATTTCTGATGTGTAGCCTAATTGTTCAAGTTCAGACAGGTAATCTTTCTCTCAAAATCGTTCAATACTGTTTATGCATAAGTCAAGCCAGTGACTAAAATATCAACTTCACATCGTTTCTTTTAGTAGGATGAAAAAATCTTATTTAAATTGTGAACAAATTATACAGAAAGTGATCAAAGAACAATCTGTCCACACAGCACGAGTTTATCTCAAGGGGGTAATCCATCGACCGGAAGTTGAAGCCGGCCGGGTGCCGCCATCTTGTAGCAGAACTTCACTTGCGTTAGCATTTCCATTGACTCCCATTCATTTTGGCGTCACTTTGACAGCGAATAACTTTACATCTGAGGCGTTTAAAGACTCCATTTGTCCATTATTTATTTCTAAAGAAACACGACAATGTATAAAAGGCTCCATTACTTTGTATCTTACGTTATGGCCCTGTAGAAGCCGTTTTTAAAAAAATAGGCAAACGATTGCGTCATAGCACGCGACTCTCTGTCGCACACTAGAGAAAATTACCGTATAGACAGAAGTAGAAACTCACGCACAATCGAGGGGACGTGGAGGCATAAAGTCAAGGAAGAAGCCCATAGAGAGTTGTAAAGTTGCTCCTGCTGCGAGCTCATGGACAGCTAATACTCACGATCTCCGGCTCTGCAAGTTTCGGAAGGGAATGATTCAGATTCCTCTTGGCACAGTCACTAGAATATTTACGTCTGTCAGACAGGTTGCTGACGTCATCAAGCTTAGTTTGAGTCGGTTTGAGTCTGCGCGTCAGAAACGGAAGTGCTCAAAAATCGCTAAAAATGGGCTTCAACTGTCTCAACTGAGTTCCAATGAGATAGCTCTGTCCATTTCTTATACTGTCTATGGTTTATCTGGACAACTCGTTATGAAATCAAGGACGCACGTTACACTGCACAACGAAGCTCTTACTGTATGTACATCATAGTGTTTGCATTAGAGAGAGCAGAAACTGGGTTGCAATGAGAAGAACTTCATTCTCGCGATCAACAGACTGTCATCTGCTTGCTCAATGCTCATCACGGCAACATTTTATGTGATGAGAATAGATCTTACTTTAAAAACTTCTCACGATTCGTTAATCTCGATAGCTGTAATAGTAAAAACGTATAATTAGCTGTAGTAAAAGTATTCGAGAGAGTTTCACATGTAATATGTAGCTATTTCATATGCAAGCATGTCAGCCAATCACAGCAGTGGCTGGTTACACTGAATCCCACAGCAGACACGCCCCTTCAAACAGAGCGTTCAAATCAGAGGCTAAAATCAGGCTAGGAAAAATGCCTTTTATTTCTAAATTATGACTATTTTTGATCTAAAAAACATACTAACATTGCAAGGGCAACCCAGGAAACATTATAAAATAATAAAATAACCCCATGTCAGGGGACCTTTAAACGTTATGTTCCTGTCCTTAATGTAAGTTACCCGTTTCATTTTAGATAAATAAATATGTCAACAAATATCAATAAATGTTTAAAAGATATAGTTAGGCTGTTTCTATACTCTAGTAAGTACTGTTATAACGTTAGTTAACTAGCATTAGAAATCAGTAACAATTATAGTCTAGTAACTTTCCTGAGAAACAGACATTGAGCTTCTGATTACTTGTGGGTGAAGAAATAGATGCAAGTAAAGTGGTTTCAGTTAGAATGATGGTTTATATGTGATGATCTATAAGTCAATGGAGACATATGACTAGTAAAAATTCATTTGTAGAGCTCTCTAATTGTAATTTTTACTAGTAATAATTGAATTAGAGCTCTTTAATTGTAATTGCTACTAGGAAGAATTGAATTGTAGAGCTCTCGAATTCAATTCTTACTAGTAAAAATGCAATTATGACGAGTAACGCTGGGTACAATTTAAGCTAAAATGGCTTACCATACATATCAGTAACGGGCTTCTCTCACTACTTGAGAGAAGTCGGCATGAAACAGAAGTTGCGATAGTCTTTTTTTCCCTATTGTAACATACATCCAAGTGAAACAAACATCACGTTGGAACTAGTAGCAATGACAGCTTGGGCTGCTTCAATAAAATAATTAGTGTATTAAATGAGAGAGAGAGAGAGAGAGCATGTGATTATTACCTGCGTCTATCATTCTCTAGGTCAAGTCAACGTAACCTGCAATGAAGCCGCTGAAATATCTCCACCACTAACACACAGACCATTTCTCAAGATCAGGTACGTACACCAATAATTTATATAAAATTATTTATTGAACAATAATGGAACAACAGCCATTATACACTGATAATTTTGTTTTTTGTACAAATAGCAAACAAACAATTCAGAACAAAGGTTAAAAAAAAAATATAAAAAGTTATGAAATTTTCCTTTGTCCTCAGTCAAAACTATTTGATCGGTAACAAATAACAGATTTGTAATATCATTGTATCTACATTGCATTTACATGTGGTCACCAAATACTGCTAGATGCAAATATTACTGTCTCAAAACATGGAGCCAGACGCTACCAGGGCTACAAAGTTGCTAAAGCATTGTGGGACCACACATATCAGCCTGCTAGATGCTAAGCAGAGGGAGGAAGCGGCCAAAGACTGGAACTTCTGTGACATCCAGTGCAAGATCCTTTGGAGAGGGCCATGGCAGGAGCAGCTTTCACAGGAACTTCTGGGAGGAATTCTGACCATGACATGCAGCTCTGCCATACAGTCTGCTGTGACAGGGAAGTTTTGTACTGTTTCTAGGCAAGTAATATCACCAGATCCTAATATTACTGCCCCAAGACATGGAGGGATGGTCACTTGTGTCAGGCCACTAGATGCTAAGCTGATTCAAGGAACTTTAGAACTGTGGCGGTAGTTTGCACCATTTACATATTCCTCTTCATGTCTTATTTAGTGACCTGAAACAAAAAAAACATTACAATTTGAAGAAAACATTTAAAAATATTTCAAATGAATAGTGACTATGCTCACAAACATTTGTAGCTAATCTTAGGCTCAGTACCTTAAACCATTCATGTAGAAGGATTTTCCTCAAATCAATCCGTTGTCTTGGGTTTTTCTGCAGGAGGGATCGAATCAGGTGGCAGCATTCTGTGCAGAACAATGGAAAAGAGATTATTACCTTGGACAGACTTCACACCTGCTGTCTTTGTATTAAGCTGTAAGATTTGACTATTCTATGCTGCATGGTCAAAAAATCAGGAAGAATTCCTGTATTATCCACGTTATCTTTTTTTTTTTTTTAAGCCACTTGGCTCGGATGTTACTTTTTTTCTAATTTCTTTGCATGATTTAAATTACAATTGATCATCTTTTTGTGATAAATGCCATCTTACCGTTTGACCAGCCAGGCTCAGACCAGATGTCAGACCAGGCACTCCCAGAGACCACACAGTAGCTGGTTTACCATGGTACTTGCCCTCTGTGTAGAACTCAGGTGGGCAGTACTCATCTGTGCCTAGAAAGAGATTTGTCTGATGTCTGAAATCCCATAGCATGTTTTCTCAGTAAAAATATCTAGTTATTTAATGTAAAAAAAAAAAAAATGCTGCCTCAAAAGTGAGATATCATACCAATTTAACTTGTCACTAGAACTTAAGTCCCAAACTACAGGTTTGATTCATAATACATACCACAACATCTTTCATAGCCAGATTCTTGCAGGAAATCCCACACCTGAAGTCAATCAGTTTGACCTCAAGGGTTTCTGAGTTGATCAGCAGGTTCTCCGCCTTAATGTCACTGTGGAAAACTCCACGGCGACAGCACATGTGAGCGGCCATTGTTGCCTGCGCAATTATAAACCGTGCCGTTTCCTCATTGAGGATGCCTTCGTGATGATCCAAAAAATCAAACACATCTTTGCAGTGTGAGGGACGCTCCAAGACCATGATATATTGGTCAGGCTGGTCCTGCCAGTCCAGCAGCTCAATGATCTCTTGAACTTTGGGGCCCCTATTAACAAGGGTTAACAGGCCGACCTCTAATGGGAGGGGTGCAGGATGACCAGGCTGGAAGAAAGATCATTTGTAAGAAAATGACTATACCTCAAGGCCATCCTCCAAGCGTTTCCCGCCATAAACAGAGCCGTATCCTTCCTCAAGCATTTTGCCGATTTCAAACCGGTTCAGAATGTCGTCTGTTAAAAGATGAATCGTTATAGTTGACATGAAATGTCAAGCATGGACAGCAGTGAGAGTAATTGAGATATGGCAGTAAACTCACCCTCAGTTGTCACGTCCACTCTGTGACCTGGTGCTGGACTGTGGTGGACTGGAGCTGCAGGGGTTTGAACCTGCTGATCTGCAGGAGGAACGACTTCAAGACCACTGGATAGAGTTTCCTGAAGACCATGATCCTCTAGCACAGGCACTGTCCCGTAGAGAATTTTGATCTAAAGCAGGGAATATCAAACAAAAGCATGTTTCAAACGAATAATTAAAACACTGCATACCGGTAGTCATATTATGGTGATTCTTCAGTTACTACATGAATTCTTAAAAAAATAAAAGTTCTTCAATGTTTCATCCGTTTAAATATTTAAGACATGTCCTTTAAAAAAAATGTATTATGAATGTTAAAAATGATGTATTTTGATATAATGTGTGATGGTGTGAATTTGTAACATATGGTAATTAATGGCACAAAAATTCTCCGAATTAAGTTACCATTAATGGAAACGTGTATATATACCTGAACATTATGCAGACTTCATGATGTACAGAGCTCTAGTAAACAGAAAACAGTTACACATTTTTAAATGGTCATTTGATTTACCCTCAGCATGTCCCTCATGTATCTTGGTCTGAGCTGCCGCTCCGGTCACAGAAGGTGAAGAGACGGTAGCTTCTCAAAACTATCCGTCCTCTTCCTCTTTCTCATTGGCATCTCATTTTCCTCACCAACACTAAAATGCTGATGGGTTTCAGCCACATCGGTGCTGGATGTTGAGGATGTGCTCTCATGGGAGTCGTACACCTGAGCACTGCGAGAACTTCGTTTTCTCTTTCGGCCAATGATAAAAGATGTCCGCTTGGTTTCATCTGTGTTTAAAGATATATGACATGCCCTGGAATAAAAATCTGATCATGACCTTAATCTAACTTCAACTGATTTTTGATCAAATCAAATGTGTGACGGTGTGGATTTTTAACATATTGTAATGAATGACACCTGGTTTCCATTAATCTTTCTGAAAATGATGTAGACTTTATGATGTACAGAGCTCTAATAAATAGTTTTAGACATGATAACATTTACACATTCTCAACTACTCATTGGATTTACCCTCAGCGTGTCTCTCACTAGTAGGTGCAGTGGTCTGATCCTCCACTTTCTGACCCTGACCTGAGCTGCTGCTCCAGTGAAGAGGGAGCTGCTCTCCAGAACTACTCTTCCTCTTCTGTCTCTCCTGACTATCACTTCACTCACTAGCAGGCTGATGATATACATACATTACACATAAAAGAGATTTGACCTTGATTTCTCCTATATCACAATAAACTAAGAACATATCAAACAAATGCACAAAAAGGTGTCTTCCAAATATTAATATACAGGTGAAACTCGAAAAATTAGAATATTGTGCAAAAGTTCATTTATTTCTGTAATTCAACTTAAAAGGTGAAACTAATATATTATAGAGACTCATTACATGCAAAGTGAGACATTTCAAGCCTTTATTTGTTATAATTTTGATGATTATGGCTTACATCTTATGAAAACCCCAAATTCAATTAGAATATTGTGAAAAGGTTTTCATAGCTGTAAGCCATAATCATCACAATTATAACAAATAATGGCTTGAAATGTCTCACTTTGCATGTAATGAGTCTCTATAATATATTAGTTTCACCTTTTAAGTTTAATTACTGAAATAAATGAACTTTTGCACGATACTCTAATTTTTCGAGTTTCACCTGTATATCCAAATTCATTTGTAGCTTATTAGGGTCAATACCTTAAACCATTTATGGAAAATGATTTTCCCCAAACCAATCCGCCGGCTTGGGTTTTCCTGCAGGAGGGATCGAATCAGGTGGCAGCATTCTGTGCAGAACGATGGAAGAGAGTCAGATTATTACCTTAAACTTTACTTTCTATTAAGCTGTAAGATTAGACTACGCTATACTGTACGGTCAAAAAACCAGGAAGAATCCCTGCATAATTCAAACAGCCATCTTTTATAAAGCTTTCTGGTTTTGGTGTTACTTTTACCTCTTTGTTTCATTTGTTCTATTTTAGTGATTTAGAATTACAATTGATAATCTTTTTTGTGATGAATGCCATTTTACCGTTTGACAAGCCAGGCTCAGACCAGATGTCATCATAAATCATCTCCAGGTCTTTGGGTTCTGGAAAGCGTCCACACACCAATAGGAATAAGAGCACTCCCAGAGACCACACAGTAGCTGGTTTACCGTGGTACTTGCCCTCTGTGTAGAACTCAGGTGGGCAGTACTCATCTGTGCCTAGAAAGAAAGAGATTTGTCTGAAGGGTAAGCTTGAAATCCCATAGCATGTTTTCTCTAGGTGATGATACACGGGGCAACTTTTTGAGCAATGTTGCTGGGCAATTGCCGTCAACGGGGAACCAGGTGAGACACAGGGCCCACGACCGATATAAAGTATCCAGATAGAAATTTGTTGCCCATTCTCAATGGGAAAGCGCCAAAGCAACATCGCTCTGCAACATAATTGCCTGGCAACATTGCTAGAAAAAGTTGCCCCATGTATCACCACCTTCTGTATCCATTAGAGTAAATGAATAATTTAGTTGTTTTTGTTCACAATTGTGGAGCGTTAAAAGTGAGATCAATCCATGGCCAAACCAGGCGTGAGGCGACATATTTAGTGAGAACATATTCGTCTAAATTTAAAAAATAAAACTCTTTTCAAACCTTGATTCATAATACATACCACAGAAGATGTCATAGGCGGACTCTTGGAGGAAATCCCCGCACCCGAAGTCAATCAATTTGACCTCAAGGGTTTCTGAGTTGATCAGCAGGTTCTCCGCCTTAATGTCACTGTGGAAAACTCCACGGCGACAGCACATGTGAGCGGCCATTGTTGCCTGCGCCATTATAAACCGTGCCGTTTCCTCATTGAGGATGCCTTCGTGATGATCCAAAAAATCAAACACATCTTTGCAGTGTGAGGGACGCTCCAAGACCATGATATATTGGTCAGGCTGGTCCTGCCAGTCCAGCAGCTCAATGATCTCTTGAACTTTGGGGCCCCTATTAACAAGGGTTAACAGGCCGACCTCTAATGGGAGGGGTGCAGGATGACCAGGCTGGAAGAAAGATCATTGTTAGTTGGAGGATTTTTATAATATTTTAGAATAAGAATTTTTGTCCAGTTTTGGAAGAATGTTATGTTTTCATGTTCTAACTTACAATGTTGATGTATTCCATGCTCTCTGACTTTTTGACAAATTTCACAGCCACCTGATCAGCAAAACAAAACATTTAGCCCATTACAATTACATTTACAACATGTCAATTGCACTACATAGTGAACATAATATACAATAAAAGGACTTGAAATGGATATAGTGAGACAAAAAAATGTGCTAAATGTAAGAAAATGACTATACCTCAAGGCCATCCTCCAAGCGTTTCCCTTCATAAACAGAGCCGAATCCTCCCTCACCAAGCATTTTGCCGATTTCAAACCGGCTCAGAATGTCGTCTGTTAAAAGATGAATCGTTATAGTTGACATGAAATGTCAAGCATGGACAGCAGTGAGAGTAATGTTTTAGATATGGCAGTAAACTCACCCTCAGTTGTCACGTCCACTCTGTGACCTGGTGCTGGACTGTGGTGGACTGGAGCTGGAGGGGTTTGAACCTGCTGATCTGCAGGAGGAACGACTTCAAGACCACTGGATAGAGGTTCCTGAAGACCATGATCCTCTAGAGCACAGGCACTGTCCTGTAGAGAATTTTGATCTAAAGCAGGGAATATCAAACAAAAGCATGTTTCAAATAAAAAATAATTACACACTGCATACCCATTATGGTGATTATTTTGTTAAAATACCCCCCCCCCCCCCCCCCCCCCAATTGTATATAGTTTTTTGTACAAATCTTGTTTAAATATTTAAGACATGTCTTGGAATTAAAAAATCTGATCATTGGCTTGATCAAACTTCAGTTTAATTTTGATATAATGTATGGTGGTGTGGATGGATTTGTAATGGTCATTTGATTTACCCTCAGCACTTCTCTCATTTATCGGTGCAGTAGTCTGGTCTGAGCTGCCGCTCCAGTCACGATAATGAAGAGACGGCAGCTTCACAAAACTTCCCATCCTATTCCTCTTTCTCATCGGCATCTCATTTTCCTCAAAAACACTAACGGGTTGATGGTTTTCAGCCGCGTCGGTGCTGGATGTCGAGGATGTACTCTCATGGGAGTCGTACACCTGAGCGAGGGAACTATGTTTTCTCTTCAGTGCCATGATAACAGTTGTCCACTTGGGTAACTCTTTATCATATGAACTGCAGAATAAACAATGAGAAGACTGACGGTATGTGGTTTCACACGGGTGACACTGTTAAGTTAAATTAGCTTAACGTTCTACTTCTTTATGACGTCGTCGATCACATTCCTGAGTGACGCTTTTCGAATGCGCGTGAGACTGAAGCTGAACTCTTGTCATTGCCTGTCTATGGTCATTGCTCACAGCGGAAAAAAGTCTTGTTTTCTATTCTTTAATGTTTCTACATAAAACATCTTACCTTATCCTTTCACTTCATAATAAAAAACAATATTTGTAATATTATTAAAAATATTATTATCAGAATAATTTAGGGTTTGACAGGATTAATAAGAGAACAATCATTCAAAAATGTGTTAAGATGTCATTTTGTGACATATCTGGTCAAGTGGAAAATTTATTTAAATCCTAGATTATGCATGTATAAAATATAATTGCTTAACATCTATACATTTTAATTTATACTATAGATTAGTTAAGCATTGCACATCCAAAGTGGGTTATAAAATAGCTTTGTTTAGGATTTTTACGAGTATGAAATACTTGACTTCTCTTCTTAGATATTTTTTAGTACAAGTATAACTTTTACATTATAGAGGGCCTGCCCCTCCTGAAGAGAACAGGAACTTTTCCATAAAGATAGAAGTGATTGGAAACTGCATTTGGCCATTTTTTTTTTTCATTTTCTCTTTGTCTTTCTCCAGTTTAGCAAGAGAGCACAAATTTGTACATGCTGTACATGTTTCCCTACAAACACACAAATAAATAAAACTAGATGAAATATTTTTTTTACAATAATATAACATATTTAAGGATGACACCTTTCTGACAACAATATAATAACAAAGAGCAATTATATTTTTTACAAATTGGAAACTCGGACTTCAGATGAGATGTGAAGTTGAAAGGTTAAAATTCAAATTCTGTCATCATTTACTCACCTTCAAGTTATTCCAAACCTGTATGAATTTCTTTCTTCTGCTCAACACAAAAGAAGATATTTTGAAGCATGTTGGTTGAGAAACAGTTGATGGGTATCATTGACTTCCATGTTTTTTTTTGTTTTTTTCATACTATGGAAGTTAATTTTCATTTTTTTGGGTGAACAATCCCTTTAAAAATAAAAATAAGCAAAATTTGATAATTTTCAAACATAATTATCACACATAAATTGGAAATAAATAAGTCATTTTTAATACTGAACAAATTAACAGACACATTTAAAATGGAATATTTTAATGTTTTTAAATGTAGGTAAATAAAATAAATTAATAAATCACTTTAAATTGAAAAAATAAATTGACATTTAAAACGGTTGAATTTATGTTTTATAATATAGTAAACAATAAAATAGTAAATTAATTTAAAAAAATGATGATGCACATTTTAAAATGTTTTGAAAAATTGCTAGTTCTGTTTCCTTGTCCAGTCGCAAATTGCTTTCTTTGTCGTTTTTTCGGGTTATAACCATTTCTTTATCTCTTCCAACACCTGATGTTTTCCTGAGGTTTCCTAGCAACCGCAGACGCCGAGTTGTCACTGTGTGTAGAAATGTTACCTCAGCTCTCTAGTGATAAAAGTGCGACTGTGTAATGGACGTTTTATCCGAAGCGAAGTCTAAACCACTTTCCTCTCTGTCTGTATTCAGCTTTATACCAGCCAGAAGGACAGAGCCCAAAGAAATGCGTTATTTCAACTGCAGCCCCAGGGTAAGGTGCAGTGCTCATTTTGGCGTTCCCATTTGAATGTCGCTGCCACGTAGCAGCTAAGTTATATCGCGCTGCTAAAATATCAGGTGGCATCTGTTTCCTATACTTTAACTAATAACGTATTTTTATCTAGATCATTCTTTCAATGGCTTTAGGTTTTCAATCTTTTAGGCGCCATCCTAAAATTTAGAAGGCAGCTATATCTTTTTATGTATAAAGACCAAATGTATACTGTAAAAAAAAAAAAAAACTATAAAAATATGCATAAAATAGTATTTGTAAAATATTTGGTTTCTATTATGTTACATTATTACTTTTTTTTGTACTCACTATATTGCTATGCTGTCCTGTAGATGTATAATTTATTTAGATTTATAATTTATTTATTTTAAATCAATTAAAGTTTATTTTAATACATTTTAATTATCTTATTCAGTTTATTTTAGTTTAGTCTTATTTATTTTTTATATACACTGTTTTTCTTGAGACTTTTCCATATACACTCTAGCACTCCATTGCCTTTGAAAACCCCTGATCTAATGCAATGACATTCATACATTTTTAAGTTAATCTCAAATAGCTGTTGGGTAGATCAAAGTACCATGGTATTACCTTTTGATATCATTGTACAAAGTTGGTTCTGTACATTTATTTTCAAAATAACATTTTCTTAAACAGATTTAGTCAATTTCCCTGTACTACAGGCCCCAGAGAGGTCTCTATATGACTGTTTACATCAGAGCACTGAGGGCTATGATAACAAACTCCACCGAGATGACAGAGAGCACGCCAAATCCCGAGGCCTGGACATCTTCAGTGAGGTGTGTTCTCCTTAACTCCCAGTGATCCATCCATGAAGGCTCATGCATTGTCTGTTGTTCTTTTTTTAAAAACAATGCTCACTAGAGGAACCCATTCTAGAGTTAATCCCTTTACGTTCTATCTCATCCTCCCATTTTAGGAATCATCTAGACCAGCACCAGTTCTGTCGTCATCAGAGTATGGCCAATATTCTCCACTACAGTCCGACTCAGGGGGGAGCTTTGCTCGTGTTGCTCACATTCGTTCTGATTTCTACAGCAAGAATGGAATCACCTGGACTGTGGAGGAAGGCTATGGATCTGTGACACCCGTCTAAACGTGTCTCTTACTCATGGTCACATCTTTGAGCGCACATTACAGTTAATGTCAAAACAAATGTCTGTGCATTTACTGTATGTCTGCTACATGCACAACAGATTGATACTAACATTTATACAGTATACGTATTAAACATGCTTTTGATGTTATTGGGTGAATTAAAAAGATTGACAAAAACATGCTCAAGTCATGCTTAAAAATCAATAGAATAAAAACTAAGAAATTATATTTTGGCATATATATATATAAAAATTCATAATGCAGAAAAAGCATACTGTAAGTCCTAAAATGCTTCATTTTCCATATTAAAATGATGCCTATTAATATAATATCACTTCACACATTATAGTAATGGGGGGGGGGGGTATGTTTACAGTAATTATCATGAAAAAAAAAGTCAATGCAAAATGTAGTAATTGTCCTAAAATGCTTAATTTTCATTCTTTTCTTTTTCGTTCATTTGCAAAATACATCATAATCCATTTTTTTTTCTTTGACTTGTTTCTGTTCGTTTCTTTTTGTTATTTTAACACATTTATCTGTAATGAGGTACCCATGAAACCTATCACAAATTCATAGACAGACACTTTGACGTTATATATAAATTTTAATGGATAACAAAATGATAGCATCAAAACATGGCCACCTTTATATTGTCTTTATTTTACAAAAACGTCCGCTGCTTTAAATTATGGATTGAGCAACACACAAATACAGGTCTCGGTTACACAGAGCCTCTTAGCCATCCATTACTTATAAAGCAATGCAAATAATCTAGTGTATGTGGTGCAAACAGAATGCTGTAGAGCTCCACTATAATAGGCCAATGTTATATTACACTGTACATGATTTTAATCGTTACCAAGTCAACGACTGACTGGTGTGTGACTGAGGTTCAAGGCATTACATTCCCTTGTGATAAAGATCGTGTCATCTCAGTGTGAACAAAGAAGGTTTTAAGATCCCCTTTGCCCTTCACGTTGATGATCCCACGACAGGAACACATATAACCCAACGTCTGTAAGATCCGACTTGTCTCCTCAGTGACCTGAGGAAGGAAGCAAGCTAGATGTGATCCTCTGAAAAACCATTAATAATTCACCAGGCATGCAAATGACATACAAAGTAGGTCAGAACAAGAATCTACCTGTATTTTTCCAAGCACGCCTGTGCTGTCCATCCTACTGGCTACATTTACAGTGTTCCCCCAGATATCGTACTGTGGTTTCTGTGCTCCAATTACTCCTGCAATCACTGGACCGTGGTTTATTCCTTGAGAGAGAGAGAGAGAGGCCGGAAACATTTAAAACGCCCTGAATGTGTGATGAAGTCTACCACATTTTGAGACTCTGCCAAAGGGTGTGAAAGCGCTGATACGGCCTGCTTACCCACTCGCAGTTTAAAGTCATTAAAGGAATGTTTGTTGATGACATCCAGCTTCCCCACCAAAGCAAACGCAAACTCCACCATTGTTCCAATGTGCATGTACTGCCGGTCATGTTCCTTCAGAAAAAGAACAGGAAACTATCATTGCACTTGTTTGAAATTCAGCATTGACTACACCCTGAGACTCTGAGGCAACACACCTCAAGCACAAATCAAGCGTGTTAGCACCACAATCAATCCAGTGTAATCGTTACAAAAAGATTCGTTTAGAAGAGCTTAACATTGTACCTGTGCGTACTCTGGTCCAGGGGTCACATTCAGTCCCGTAGCAGCCATGTATGTGCTGCCAATAGTTTTGATCTTCTCCACTCCACTAAATTTGGGTTTTGAAAGCAACTGTTGAGAAAAAAAAAATCATTAAGTTTAGAGTCAAAGTTTTGGGGGAAAAATAATTGGAGAAGAAAAATATACTTTTCATTCATGACATTTCTTGGAATAGTTTTAGCGTATTAATGGATATGACGATGTTAATGCATTTGGTACTGGCGAACATCACTCTTAAAGGGTTAGTTCACCCAAAAATCACTCACCCTCATGTCTTTCCAAACCTGTAAGACTTTCGGAACACAAATGAAGATCTTTTTGATGAAATCTGAGAGAAATCCCTCCATTGACAGCTACGCAATTGAAACTTTGACACTTCAAAAAGTTCATAAAGAGATCGTAAAACTAATCCATATTAATTCAACGGTTTAGTCCAAATTTTCTGAAGAGACTCGATCGCTTCATTTGATGAACAGATTGAATTTAGGTTTTTATTCATCAATAAAGATTGATCGGCGAACATAAACTGAAGCTCAACCGAACCTGCTTGACCTGCAAGAACAAACCTCTTTCGGACGCCCAAACGTGCTGTGTAACACGAGAATGAACCTCATTGGTTCTTGCTGAAGCTCAAACGTGCTGTGTAACACGAGAATGAACCTCATTGGTTCTTGCTGAAGCTCAAACGTGCTGTGTAACACGAGAATGAACCTCATTGGTTCTTGATTAAGCTCAAACGTGCTGTGTAACACGAGAATGAACCTCATTGGTTCTTGATTAAGCTCAAACGTGCTGTGTAACACGAGAATGAACCTCATTGGCTCTTGCTGAAGCTCAAACGTGCTGTGTAACACGAGAATGAACCTCATTGGTTCTTGCTGAAGCTCAAACGTGCTGTGTAACACGAGAATGAACCTCATTGGTTCTTGCTGAAGCTCAAACGTGCTGTGTAACACGAGAATGAACCTCATTGGTTCTTGCTGAAGCTCAAACGTGCTGTGTAACACGAGAATGAACCTCATTGGTTCTTGCTGAAGCTCAAACGTGCTGTGTAACACGAGAATGAACCTCATTGGTTCTTGATGAAGCTCAAACGTGCTGTTTAACACGAGAATGAACCTCATTGGACCCCATGAACCTCAACCTCAATTTTCTCTAAAAAATAAAATCAAAATATGGATGTAGCTGTGGGTGTACCTCATCAAAATCTGCAATAATCTCATTGAGGAGCCTGAGACACTCCAAACCCTCCTTATTAACGTCAGATTCTGTGTAAAATTCCTTGAAGTCTGGGATGGACGCGAACATCACACACACCAGATCGTACGACTGATGGTAGAGGTCCTATCAAAAATACAGCAAAAAAAATATATCTGGTGATGAAAATGACTAATAAACTAGACAGGCCCAGAAGATTTTTGATTAATTACATTATATGATATTATATTATATAAGAAATAGAAGAAGAAATATAAATGTGAACTTTGTAAAAAAAAGAAGATATTTCTCAAATAGTGTTAGAAAACTTTCATTCAACTTTTCACTGAAATTGTAATGCTGATAATATAATTAATAAAAAATAAAAAAAGTTTATTCATTTGGGAAATTCACAATTTTCCACTAGTGTTCTAAAACATTTGAACGCCTCTCACCTCATTCTTCCAGTTACGGCCCAGGAAATGTTCCGCCACATGGGCAGGTAGAACGTTCTCCAAAAGCACCCGGTTCAGGTTCTCCATGGTCTCAATCTCCTCACACTCCTTCTTAAACTTGTTTCTCCAGAGGAAGTCTAACCTACAGTAATATTCATTCTGTTACAAGAGGACACAGAGGTAAAGAGATGGTACACATCTGATCACCGTATTTGGCTTTCAAGATGACAAAGAAAGCATAATCATATGCACACAAGAACATTTCATCTTATATATTTATGGATTTTTCTTGCACAAAGCGCCGCTATCATGAAAAATTGCTTCAATTTTCTCTGAGTTGCAGCCTTCTGTTCCAGCAGACATTCATCACAGAAAAGATTTCAGTGGAAGTGGCACCTTGAAAGGCATTAAGTAGCCTATGCACTGTCATTCTCACCTAGTCTATATTTGCTTTTGCTTATTTTCCATTGCTTTGGAGAAAAATCAGTCCCCGGCTAAGTAACCTATCACCTGATCAAGCCGAACTCAGCATTACTTGAATTGATTGAATTCGCCTAACTGCACAATTCAAATATAGAGTTCATCAGACACATCTATTAGCCTACCTAGAGATAAATTAAAAGAACACACTGAAAAAAGGAAGTCTGACCGACCGCTAACCTGCGGAGATTGTGAAAAGTCTTCAATACAGACTGAAAAACATACAATACTTTCATGATTGTACTATGAAAAAAGTATATCTTATAGTGGTATTATTAAAATCCTTTTCACAGGAAGCTATTGTACAGCCAGAGGCTGATGAGAGCTGATAGTAACTGAAGCCTTGGAAACTGGGAACACATTTGTACTGCCACAATACTTTGAGCTTAAAGGGTTAGTTCACCCAAAAATGTAAATGATGTCATTAATGACTCACCCTCATGTCGTTCCAAGCCCGTAAGACCTCCGTTCATCTTCGGAACACAGTTTAAGAGATTTTAGATTTAGTCCGAGAGCTTTCTGTCCCTCCATTGAAAATGTATGTATGGTATACTGTCCTTGTCCAGAAAGGAAATAAAGACATCATCAAAGTAGTCCATGTGACATCAGTGGGTTAGTTAGAATGTTTTGAAGCATCGAAAATACATTTTGGTCCAACTACAACTTTATTCAGCATTGTATTCTCTTCCGGTTCTGTTGTCAATCCGCGTTCAGTGACGCTCTGTGTTATCCGGTGCGCCCGAGCTTCGTTTACAGTCTGAGGGAGACGCACGCTGTAAACAAAACAATCTTTGCAAACATGTCTAAGGATTTCGACACAGAGGAAGACTTGAATTTTTTTGCCCAGCCAAATTTATTTGAACCAGAATACACGGACACACCAGATACACGTCAGCAGCGTCACTGCGGACTCGTGAACGCGGATTGACAACAGAACCGGAAGAGAATACAATGCTGAATAAAGTTGTAGTTTTTGTTATTTTTGCACCAAAATGTATTTTCGATGCTTCAAAACATTCTAACTAACCCACTGGTGTCACATGGACTACTTTGATGATGTCTTTATTTCCTTTCTGGACAAGGACAGTAGCCTATACCGTACATACATTTTCAATGGAGGGACAGAAAGCTCTCGGACTAAATCTAAAATATCTTAAACTGTGTTCCGAAGATGAACGGATGTCTTACGGGCTTGGAACGACATGAGGATGAGTCATTAATGACATAATTTTCAT